TGTAAGGACCAGAGCCCATCTTACAGGGACCATAAGTACATTCTATAGAAATGGCGCTTCTGTGGCAAGACCAGGACCCATGAAAAACCAGTGCCGGGTCCAATGTAACACAGCATGGAGCTGGCAGAGCCCCCCCCCCTGGGCTGGGGCTCACCTTTCCCGGCTTTGGAACCACTTTCTTGTTCTTTGCAGTTTTCTTTTTTTCATCTTCATCCTTCTTTTCTGACTCCTCTTCATCGTCTGAAGCTTCCTGGCCATTCAAAGCGGAAAGAGCCCCTTACACCCTGTCCCTCACAGTACAACAATGCTTGGTAACCATAATTATAGCAATATTCCAGGTCTGAAATAAAACCACCATGTGTCCAGACTACAGATTGGATCAGACTGCAGTGACCACCCCAGGATTAGAGCATCAGTCAATCACGTTGGTGTCAAGCCAAGTGAGCTCGGTGTGGGACACTTAACATGAATTTGGCAAACGTTCAATTTGATGATGTTTATTGACAAGACAAGGTTTTCGATTGGATAAGAGCAACAGTCCTGTAACATTAATAAGAAACATTAATGGAGAGGAGAATGTAGCAGGGAAGAGGAACGAGGGATTTGGGGGTAAGGAAGGGAAAGATGGGAAGGAGCAGAGGGTGGCTGGGGTGGGGGGTCAGTTTATTACCCACTTTTATTTTCTTGGCCTTAGCTTTGTCCTTTGTCTTCTTTGCCGCCTTGACGCCCTCATCCTGCGTCACACAGACAGTATCTTTATACGGCCACAGCCCGTGGAACCAAACCCCTGCGTCACAGTTCCGACAGGGAATGCCCCTCGTCTTTACGGCACCCAGAAAGCATGCAACAGATAATTCACAGAACCGGCGTGGAAAATCCCGAGAGAGTCCCTGGCTTTGAAACACCAAGTTACGAGATGATGGTCAGGATGGGATGATGGACTGAGAGCGGCGGCGGTGTGACAAAACGAGGAAAGGATGGAGAGAGGATGCGAACAGTAACTGAGGAAGAGCACGAGGGGAGGGGCACTGACAGGACGCGGAAGCAGGGACATTCGTCAGTGTTTCAAAATCTGGTCCTCAGGGACCCACAGACAGTCCATGTTTCTATCAGAGCTCGGAGGGAGCACAAACACGGACTGTCTGACAGGGAGCACAAACACGGACTGTCTGACAGGGAGCAAAAACACGGACTGTCTGACAGGGAGCAAAAACACAGACTGTCTGACAGGGAGCTCGGAGGGAGCAAAAACATGGACTGTATGTAGGTCCCCGAGGACTGGATTGGGAAACACCGAGTTATGTGGTTACTGAAGACTCACTGCAGTGTTAATGACACGCTGAACACATGGGTTTCATTTCAGTTAATAATGACAAGGAGCATCTGGTTAGAATGTCAGTGATGGGGGGGGAGAGAGAACAAAAGGTTTGGCTTTTCACGTACAGAAAAAAAGCACAGATGTGGAATCAGCACCAAGACCATAACGAACAGCTTAGTGCACAGTGATTTGACCCATTTTTTTTTTTTGGCTCATACCTGGGATGAAACAAAGATGTGAGACGAGCCATGGGGTTTGGAGGCTAATTATAAAACTCACAAGACATCCTGACTGGGACATCCCTGACCCAGGGAAGCAGCAGGGGCCGGCCAATGAACACACTGCTACCAAACAGAATGGAGTAAAAGGAGCCAAAGACTGGATTGACGATCATTCAACCTGCTTCCCATTGGCTGCTCTGTCAGATACTGCCAGACTAAGTTACATAGTTATTACCAGTAAACCATTATCCAACTAACATCTGGATCCAACACTACATTTCTCCCATCTCTAAGATCACCCATGCATCAGCGCTGACCTTGCTATTCTTCTTCCCTGGTCTCTCATCTTCCTCCTCTTTGCCAGCATCATCCTCGTCGCTCTGTTCCTGACTCAGAGCGGCAAATATATTCATGCCCTGAGGTACAGAATAGCCAGAGATGAATTACCAAAATTGTCATACGCTCATCCAGCATCACTGCAACACCACTGAGGTATATGGAACGAGATTAAGAGCACCACAGCCTATCCCTTACAGCAGCTAGCACGGCACATTCATCTGCCAAAAGGCTCACCTTAGTTTTCTTGCCACCTTTGTTCTGCACAACAACTAAAACAGAAACAGGAAAAACAAAAGTTTACATCAGGCTTTTTCAGATCAGTGCTGAAATTACCCAATATCATTAAACACAGACAGCAACATTTTCACAGAATATTTTGAACTGTACACTAATAACAAAATAAACTAATAAGACAGAATGCAGCACTGTAAGTGCGATGCTACATGGTGACTGAAAGTGAGAGAGCGAGAGGAAATAATGCTGCTTCAGTGATAAACAAGGTCCCAGTGAGAAAAGTATCTTCCTATATACAATTTTAATCAGGCCAATCATCAGAATGACACAAGTCATACAAAAATGAAGGAACCTTGTATTAGGAAATAGTGATGCTATTTAAGGTACAGAGGTTCTTCTGTATGATCTCTTCTTCGACAGTTCTTCAGAAAGATGTCTGCATCATAAACAAATGCAATGATCATTTGCTTTACCATCATCTTCCTCATCATCATCGCTGGGCTGCACTGATAGCTTTTTGAGTCTCTCCATCACCTCATCTTCCTCATCATCCCCACCTCGGTCTTTTCTGCGATCTTTCTTTTTCTTCTGGGGCTGGGATTTATGAAGCAGGGCACAGTCACATAACAGGAATACTAAATAGGTAGTTTTGTTAAGCCACGCTTGTGGGGGGAGAATCTGAAGCCAAGTGGCAATATTTGTCCAGGAAATAAATTATATATATATTTTTCTCTCTCTACAGTGTAGAGTAAAGTGTGTAAATGTATAGACAAAGAACTACATTTTCCCACTATCTTGTTTTTAGCTTTTGCACAGATTCTTTATAGGTTATAGGATTCTGCTTTTACCAGGTTTTTCACTCCAGGGCCACATGACACATAAGCACTCAATGGGAGGGGGAGGCTGCCTCATATCATCTTGTACCTGCTTTCCGTGAGTCTCCTTAACGACGGGCTCTTCCTTCTCTTCTTTGACATCTGAAGCCAATTCCTCAAAGAACTGAGACAGACATTGAAAAAGTGTGTATGAATAGTTTTGTTTCAGATAAACCCAGATTGTTAAAAAAAAATACAATCACAATAGCTTATCTGAAAATGTCAACCTGAAAAAGAAAATGCATCTATAGTAACAGTACTTACTGATTTCTTTGCCTTCTTATCTTTCTTGCCCTTTTTTACAGCTTTTTCTACAACGACAGATTGGAGAATCAATCACCCTAATTAAAAGTGCTTCAACATAGAAGAAGTCACATCATCACCTTTCTCTATGCAAAGTGCACAAAACGACATGCGCCACCGCGCTCCACACCTACTGAGTTGCGGGTTCAAACTGCAACTGTGCTCTGTAGGTATAGAGTTTTAATGTCCGCTCTGTTTTGCGTTTGTTTCCTCCGGGTACTTCACTTTTCACTCGAACTCATGCAAAGACATGCAACTAGGTTAACTGGATATAAAGTATGATCGTGTGTGTGTGTGTGTGCGTGTGTGTGTAAACTAACCAGCCGGGACCCCAACCAGAGTCTTGTGCACTGTCACTGTGCTACCTGGGATAGACTCCAAGCCCGATAAGCGGTTAGAAGATGGATGGGTGATTTTATCAACACTAAAAGGGTAGGAGATGGCAAAGGAATGTGAATCATACACAAAGCGACAAGCACCTCAATCGGGTTAAGTAAGCAAAATGAGCGGCAAAATAACATGCTAAAATTAACCAGCCTTGCTATCCAGCTCGCCGAGGAGTATATATTATGATATCGGTTCAGTTTTAATAGCTGGCTAGCTAACTCGCCAGAGATCGTGATGTAACACCCATCCAATAACAAGTACTTCTACCAGAATAGCTAAAGGCTGCCAAAAACCAATACATATGTAAGTAGCCGTGACCTAAAACATATAAGCGTTATTTGTTTTACTCTTTTATATGCGTAACAAAAACTGTCAACCCATCACAAGACATTATATGCGAAAGAGATGAGCAAACTGCTGGTTAAAGAATACTATGTGCTATTCAGCGTTACCTGCCGGCGCAGCTTCGTCTCCCTCCCATTCTGGCACCTCTTTCGCTTTTTTGGGCATTTTCGTCTTTAAACTTAGGCAAAAACTGACAACTTATTGTGTGATATTAATAAAATTACCTAACAACTGTCTCAACTTATATTACCGGGCGGGCAGGCAAGACAGTTAGTCAGTCACACATGCGGCCTGATTTTTTTTTCCGGCGCTAGTTACTACAGAGTTTCGGGCATACTTAGAAAACCTCAGAGGTGCCTTCATATATCACAGCGCCACCAACCGGTCGAGAGGACTGTCCTGTCCAGCAACGCTGTCACGGGATGACGTTATAATTGTCATGGAAATAACATTGTTTAACAGACAGGTAAATCTATAGTTTTCTTAATTACTATTTGACTCCAGTCTGTCTTAAACAACTTATCAGCCCTTTTTATTAGCTGTAGTGGCATCTACAAATTATGTTAAGATTGCTTTGTCACTTTTATTAAATGTTGTATTGTGACAGCTGTATACTTGCGTAATGTGAGATGGCAGTAAGAAGTTAAATTAATTAAATGGAACGGGATAAGCAAGTATTTAGTAATGCAAATACCTGTATACCCCATTTGGAAAACGTACATGTGCAAATTTCCTATGCACAATATAATCACTACAACAGTCATACTGCAGAATGAAACGAAAGATTATCGTATTTTCCTCAATCTCATGCGCAAAGTAACTGCAGTCCAAAAAAACTTTCCAGCCACTAGTGAAGCGATCTTGTAATCCCATGTCCTCCACTTTACAAGATCTGGCTGCGGCTTAGCCAATCAGCTGCAAGCCGGTCAGCGTGCGCGGGCGAAGGGCACGGCTCCTGCGTTTCGGTTTTTTTCCCAGAGACGTATCGACGCATGCGCAGAGCGGCGCACGGTCGGACAAGGGCACAGAGATGGAATGACATTTAGTGCAACATGAACTGCGACTTTTCTATTCGCGAAATACGAAGCGATAAATGTGCAGCATGGGCAACACGCTATGGAGGTGAAGCCTTCAATACGTTAAGAGCTTTAGATCGCAGTCGGTTTTCTGTTGGTGGTTGACAGGTATGTGGTTAGTTGGCTAAGCTATTTTGGTGCATATAGGTGTTTTTTTTTAAAGAATCGGCTGCTGGTTAACCTCTTTGAAAGTCTTTGGGTGCTATAGTTACTTGATTCGGGAAGTTTCAAACTACAAAATGTGTCTTTTATGAGGCTTCAGTTATGGCTGCCTGTAAACGGTAGACTGCTTTAGCTACGTCGGCTAGTGGTATAACAGGTAGGGGATACCAGTGCGTGGCGGGCTGCTTTGCAAATACGAAACTACTATTGTAAGGGACTTTACAGTGCCGATCGTGCAAAGCATTGGTTTGTCCGAAATCTGCATTGCCCGACGAGCTTATTTACACCTTTTGTCGCTTAACCTGTAAGATATGCTGAGGTTCGGGCTGTTGGACGTGAATGTTACAGGCTACACCACCATCCCGCTCAGTCTGTTCATTGAAATGCTTGAGATAATTTCAAATTTTCCCGATCTTTCTGACCCTAAATAAGTTATTAAACGGTCTCTCGCCACGTAAGTGTACGAGTGAACAAATACTAAATTACGTCAAGTTTTATTTGCAGCAAAATAACAGTAAAAGGAGCTCCTTGTTGTGGTCAGTTACTGAAATAATCGGTTATAAGGCTTAATCATGTAGTTTTCCCAGGACCTTACGTTGACCAGCAAATTAAACTCCAGACTTTGTATATTATAAAACACAAAGGATTTTATTCCTCTGGGAACATATGCCTCCATTCACATTCAACTGCTGCTTATTCAGTTAGGGACGCAGTGGGCTGGACTTGAGCCCAAAGAAGAGACTTCAGGATGCATCTTGGTTTGGATGTCTGGCTGTTAGTATACATCTGTGTGTTCAGCATTACAGAAATCTGGACTCTGACTTTGGATTGTGAGTGACAACCAATAAAAGTTTCTAGTTTTATTGTCAGACGTTCGGAACAGCAATGAAATTCATATGTCACGGTTACCGAGGAGGACACAGGAGCATGAGGGACAATAGGACAAAAAGCGGTGCAATACAGAACAAATGTAAAAATTGCTCTAGAAACATTGAAGGTTTATTTCCCTTTTTCTTTCCATGTTTGCTAGAGTTTTGAAGAAAGAAGAGTTGGAGTTAAGGAAGTGAACAACCGTTTTTTGCCCATGTAATGGCAACAGAGTAGCTGGCTTTGTCTTTGGACCTATCAGTTTGCTGGGTTTTCCCCGCTCATTGAGCTGAATGGCTTTGTGTAGAGGGGGTATTGCCTTTATGGTGGGCTGTGGGAGGAGTCAAGGCTGCCGGCAACCAATCAAGCGACAGTCCTGGTGTCTCAAGCAGGTATGAGACTTTGCAAATGATCAGTAACTGCCTGGTTACTTAGGGACCCCTGATAAAACTACACATCCCTCCAGTTTTTAGACGATTCATCATTTGATACCTTTTAAAAGTTATTTCCTGTTTGTATATTTTATAACTTTTCAGAAGTATATTTGTGTATACAATCAAATGTATGTAAAATAACTAATATTTCCTTGTATATTGGACATAATCTTTAATCTTATTAAATCATACAGCTCTGAAAAAACTAAGAGACCACTATATTTTTTAAAATCTGCATTTTTACATCTTGGTTTAATCCTGGTTTTGCTGGTAGAAGGCTACACTGTGAGGCAGGCTGCTTGCAGGCTCAGAGTTTGAAACGTGAAGCAGGAGACACTGGGAACGACCAAAAACCTGCCAGGTAGAGGGCGGAGGGGACTTTCTAATGGCAGAAATGACAATCCACTTATCTGACAGTGCATCATAAATCTGAGAATGAGCTCAAGTGACCTTCACAAAGAATGGGAAACATTAATTGGTGTGAAGTGCACTGCTAGGACAGTTCATAACAGGCTCCTAGAAGCAGGACTGAAGACCCATAAAGCAAGGAAGAAGCCCTTCATCAATGAGAAGCAGGGAAGGGTCAGGCTGGAGTTTGCGAAAATTTTGCTGTGGTCTCTTAATTTTTCCAGAGTTGTATATGTTATGTGCAAGTATGGTTCCTCCTACAGTGATTTTGTGTTCCTGTTGGTACCTTGTACTGTTCCTTCTGTAGGCCCTGGATCTGCCGTTTAACGGACCCTCCCGACCCATAGGCAACATCTGTTTGGCACTCGCTCCCTCACGCTGCTGGCGCCATGGGCAGGCTGGCCAGCTCGCGTTTGAGCCGTCGCCGAGTCGCCGGCCACCCGCCGGCCACCTGGCCCAGACGCTCATCCTGGAGGAGGACTGGGAGAAGGCGGTCAGCCTGTGCGTGCTGCTGGGCCCCGGAGATTTCCAAGGCCAGCGAACTGTAGTGGAAATCCCGGTGCTGGACCCCGGCCAGCTCAGCGAGCTCTTAGCTCTAGGGTCCGGAAAGCGTGGAGGGCTCTTTCTCCCTTTAACCACCGTCGACGGAACCAGGGAGGACGACATTAATGTACGAGGAGAAGTCGGAGACAAGGAGGGGGCAGAGAGGGAGTCTTTCCATAGCTCCTTTCGGACAGAGAGCTGTCCTGCCCCCTTTGTGCGAGGGTCCCCATTCTATTGCTTCCATGGCCCATTCACGGAGCCTCTGTTCAGGTATGAGGATAAATCAAGACTGGGGATTGGGCTGCGGGTGCAGGCCTCAGATCTCAGTCTGTCGCCTCCTGCTGCTCATTGTAATTACTTGGAGAATGGAGGAAGAGAAGGGAGAGACAACGAACAAGAGAGGGAGCGAGAAGAGAAGCTGGCCCTTATGTATGAAGCATTAAGGATTGAGGTGAGAGAAGGAGATTGTGAGAATGTGTGTTACACGTGAATAGATTATCACTGCTGGTGGAATGCAGTTTGTTGCAACAAAACCGTTATTGTTGTGCATTTGCAGTTGCCAAGTTTCTTTGTGAAGCGACACAACTATGGGTTGTACTCCATGGATGTGGAGTTCATTAATGGACTGCTGAACATGAAGACGAGGTACACAGCCGCCGCGCGTCGCGTAGCGAGCGATTAGCGCGTTAGCATATTTCCAGTTAAACGACACGGGCGTGCTAACGCTGGGCAAAAGAGCGGGGGGAGGTGAGGCAGTAATGCAGGACTTTGGTCGAGAAGCACAGATGGAAGAGGGTGTGTTGCATTGTGGGTAGTGTCCCCAGAGCTTTGAGGGGGCAGAGAGACATCGCCAGGCGTGCTCCAAGAATTTGCATGTGGCGTTCAGACAGGGACATCGATTTGTGTGCAGTTACTGCTCTGCTCAAGTACAAATCCTGTGAAGGTGGCTTGTTCAAGTCTCCCGTTGTACTCTTAAGTAATTGCATCAGTCTTGGAAAAAACTGCCATCTTAAAATCATTAATAACTAGTACATTTCAAGTCAGTTTAGCCTTTCACAACAGAGTCATCCCGATAATATATTAGAATAATGCAAAAACAGAGAAAGGGGAAGGCAAAGAAGGAAAGAAAAAAGAACAGCTGACAACAGAGGACATTGAAATGCGCTGCTGAGTGCAGTAGGTTCAGTTTCTGTGTAAGTCTGCATGGATGTTGAATCCCAGGCTTCTTTAAATGTTGTCACAATAAGCAGCACCCTGCTTAGCCTTGGGTTTCCGGAGCGGAACCCTGACGAACACAAGGGATGCATTGTGCTTGCAGCTGCCCAGATGGGCCTCCAGGGGGCAGTGACTCAGCATCAGTATGATGTGTGTGGGCTCCAGGTATACATTACACCGTGGGGATCAAATGTCATCAGAATGTGATAAAAGCCTGTTATTCTGATGTTGTGGGGACCATTTTTTCGGTCCTCACAAGGGGAAATTCAATTAAATAAAAATCTGTGAATGCAATCAACCCGCCCCGCTCCCCCACCCCTGTCCCTGTTCCCCCGCCCCGCTCCCCCAGGGGCCGGTTGGTGTACCAGCTAACGCTGACACTGTGGCAGCTGCTCTGCCGCCTCTACATGGCCGATGTGCGACTGGAGGTGCTGAAGCTGACCAAGCACAGCGAGGACGGCACGGTGCGGGCACGCTGGAGGCTGCGGGGGCAGCCCTACCACCTCATGCCGCTGCGCTTCTACAGGCGGGACAAGGCCCCTCTCTACAGGTACCTTCTACTGGAGGAGGGGTCAAGGCACTCGGTCTGCCTTTGGAAGGTTACCTGTCTTTCTGAGAGGCTCTTACCGGGAATTTCTAGTGTAAAAGTGTGTGTGTGTGTGTGTGTATATATACGTGCTATACGTGGTGCATTATGGGTATTATAAGTTAGATATGTACTGTACCATGATGTGGCTGGCAGCGCAGCCCCGTTGTTTACACCAGCTATACGTGGTGCATTATGGGTATTATAAGTTAGATATGTAGTGTACCATGATGTCGCTGGCAGCGCAGCCGCGTTGTTTACACCAGCTATACGTGGTGCATTATGGGTATTATAAGTTAGATATGTACTGTACCATGATGTCGCTGGCAGCGCAGCCGCGCTGTTTATGTGTCCAGCAGAGCTCTGTAAGGTTCAGGCTTATGGTGCCGTGTGAAATTTGCTGCCTTTGGCCTCCACAGGAGCTACGATGCCTTCTCCACGTTCCACCTGGGGCCAGACGGACTCATACACCGTCACAGGGTGGACAAGGTAAGACCAGGCACCTTTCCAGCTTTCTGAGACGTGCAGAGTTGTTCATGTAGGGGCACATAGAGGAAGCTAGGGTGTGCCCCACTGTCACCTGTCACCGACATCTGATTGGAGATCTGATTTATTTTTCGAGAATAGACGTGTACCCGCACATGGACTTGAAAGGTCTTGAAATGTCCTTGGATCGATTAGATAGTGATTTGTTACTCAGCTTGACGCTCTGGTTAAGTTACATTGCTTGCAGAGATCTGATTTCTCTACTGAAATGAACTTCAGAATCCCTGCTGGTCCCGGCATGGGCGTTTCTGCAGGGAGACACCCCACGCTTACAGAACCATACACAAACAAGTCCCGCCCCCATGCTTTTTTCTGGTCTCTCTGCCACAATTTGACCCCTGCGCTCTTTCTCAGGTGATGCAGGTGCAGCCCCCAGTCCTGCCCCGAATTACGTCGCTCCTGGCTGGTGCCTTGGTGGCCCTTGGGGTCCAGGAGCACAGACCTGCCCTGAATCTGCTGCCTTTCCTGCTGTCCTCTTTGCGCCTGGGGAGGCAGTGAGGCCCGTGGGGGCCAGCAGGCAGAGAGCGAAAGGGGGAGACGGTGGGAGTTGGTTAGAGAGACACTTTTCCACATGAAAGTCCCAATGCTAATGGGAGTGAAGAGGATCCGATTATAGGCCAAAAACTTAAACTCCGACTGCAGGAACTCGTTTGTCTATCCCAGCCAGGGTGTGAAGAGAGGCGTGGAAATCGATCCACCTGCGTTCGTGGTCCCACGACGCCGAGGTCCGCGAGGTCTCGTTTCTTTACGGAAGTACCCCCCCAAAGTGAGTCATTACCATCTGGCTGTCAAGCTGCACTCTAGAGGGCCCTTTGTGAAACGCATGGGCACCCCCAACGTGTGCTGGCGTGTGTGTGTGTGCTCGTGCACGCGGCAGTCTCTGTGTAAAGGCCGGCGCCCCCACCTGGATTAGCATTGCACGCGATTCAGAAACTGTACCGGGAATAAACATTCTGCACTAGACTCTGGCTGCTCTGTGACGTACCATACTGTGATGTGTGTGCCGATGTTCTGCTTTATGCCCCTAGAACAGCAAGTGACGCTAAGCCGACTGAACAGAGCTAACACTGGGGGTTTAGGAGTAACAGAACCAGAAATTTCTCTGTAATATTTTTATAGTTAAAATGCAGTATATTTATTAACTTCTTCAATTCTTAGCAAATTAACTCAGTTAGCAGTAGCATGCTAAACCAAAGCAAAAGTTTGGGAGAGGGGGGAAAAAATAGCTTTGTCTGTCTTAAAATGTAACATTCTTACAGCCAGGGGGCAGCAGAGAGCTTTATCGTCGATGTGTAGTGAGTGTAGTTAGTATGTCAGAACAAAAAAATTTTTAATTCACTTTTCCTGTTGGCCAGTGCTGCATTTTTCCTTAAATCTAATCCGGTAAACCATTCTGCGATCTTGTCGTACCAGGACTGGACCCAGACCTCAAATGTGCAGGGTTGAGTATTAGACACTAAATCACATGCTTTTCTGGACTGATTATCTTGAGTTGTGATGAATGGAGACATTGGGCTGACCGTTCATAGGTCTGAAATTCTGTTTGGACCTCCGGTGTCGCCAGACATTCTAAAATTCCCATGATCAGCTGAATGAAGCTCTCACCAGTACATAGGCTATGCTACGGATCATGGATGCAGAGCTTCAGAGATGTGCCTTCTGCCAGAATTGGCCTAACCGTCACGTGAAGCCCTGATTTCAGTTGTGCCTGGCAGCCTGGATAGAAGTCTCTAGAATATTTCTTTCAAAAGCATACCGATTGTGTTTTTTAAGGTCTGTTCAGACCAACCTTTATGTTATAATAGTCTAAAGTGGCGTGAACGTGAAGATGGCTGCCACAAGTAAAAATTATGCTTGATCAATCTCCAGATACATTTTAGCGTAATTAAGAATGTTGTTCATTCATCCAATCTTAGCTGTTCACTTTTCGATTTAAGATCAGAGTAAAGGCAGTTCAACTGACAGCTGTGTATATGTTCAGGGCCGAGTCTAGTTCGATCAGGTCATTTCAGAGTATAAAATAAGAAACCACTGTGCTGAGTGATCGTGAGTGTCTGTGTTATCCTGTAAGTGCAATAATACACGTGACATGAACCAGTGTCTAAGGCACCTTAAGACCAGATTGAACGTTCATGGAAAACCTCACCCTCACCTTGGACACTAAAACACTTCCTGGAGGTGTGTGGGAAGAACGGATGTGGACTGATGATCGGAAGCTGCAAGGCTGTGCTCCTTGTTACAGCATCATACTCTTGGCGTTTAAAGCACGACCACTTTGCACGGACCAGCAACTGAAGAGGTAGCACTTAAGGACGTAGCACTTAAGGACCTGGATGATTTTATGTTAAGCCTGAACTCAGAATAGGGGCGCCACTGTTATGCCATATGAAGAGCCCCCCCTGCAGGACGTGTGCGGATGTATGTGTCGATATCTAAGTTGCCGTAAGTGATTACCTTTGGGTAAATGTTTGAGCAACTAAATATTGTAAAACGATTGTCTGGTGTCGTTCTTGGTCACTCGCTGCCGCCTTTCCTTCGATGGGAGCTCTAACTTCTATAATAAAATGTGGTAGAGCACACTTAATACGCTTGACAATTTAAGGGAGGAAAAAAAAATCCTCTAACATTCATCTCCAGATGTGGCCCAGACTGCCTGTAGTTTCATTGGTCGGTCACCGCTTACCTCATCGCTTCCGGTCCATATAAAAACAAGAGCAAAGTCCTCTCCGCCGCCCCTTTATTTTCACAGTAGTTAAATCACAAGCAGAGTCTCTTTACATCAAAAATTGTAAATAAAAGCAATGGCCACTGAGAGGAAAAATTACATCTAGTTTTAAAAAAGGTTTTAATTGTAAACGCCTAAATCCATTTGTCATGAAAGACAATTATTGGCTCATAATCACCTTTAACCTACATGATTATCACCGATAATCAAAAATGACAAATCTTTCCTATGAAGTACGGGGTAATTTGTTCATATTTCCATTAAGAGAGATAAACATAGTCACAAGCTGTGTATAGTTTAAGTTAAGGGACCGCGTTGGTTCACACTTGGCTAGTAGCATTTTATCTTACACCAGTAACTGATTCGGAAACCCAGGTGACTAATCCACAAAACAAGCAGTGACGGACTGGGTAAGGACAAACACGTGGCATTACAGGTGGGTCACACCCAGGTGGCACAGCTCAAAACAACGGCATCCATTCCATGTTTAAACAACTAGCATAACCACAGCCGGTTCACAATGCTTAGACTTTTTCCCAGCCATAGAGAGAAGAGGGCTGCGGTGACTGACAGGTTTTCGACCAGTCAGTGTGACCAGGGGGCGGGTCTTAAATGCCAAGACAACTGGGCAACTAGATGAATGCCATTGGGAATGGAATTTGGAGCATATATGAGATGACAGTATTTGCAGGCAGGACTGATTGGACGAAAGGAGACTGACACGCATATGGACCAATGGGGTTAGGAATCGGACGAGAAGGCCCGGTGTGTGTTGGGGAAACGCTGGGAGCTGAAATCGGGGTCCTCTCTCAGCCTCCTCTTGATGTCACTCTTCACCTGAGGCCATTTAAGCATCACTTTAAAAATCAATATTTTATTTTTTTATACTTATTTACCATATAAATTCTAAATTCATATAAAGCAGACTTAAGACACTGGCTCTGCTGAGCAGACGCTCATTAGGATGGGGCTTAACTGTGGGACGATACCTGTTCCGCATAGGCCTCCTGCAGCTCAGGTTCATCCAGCTCCCCCTGCAGGCTCTCTGGGGTAGTGACAGGCTTCACCCCAGCCGACCTGGCTGCCCTGTTCACGGCCTCCGACAGGGAGAGATGGGGGCCCTCACCCTGCGTCGTCTGACAGCAAAACAGGAAAAGGGGGGGCTTCACGCGGTGCATCCAGGCAGGCCTCGCCTCAGCATGGGAACAGCAATGGCCACAGACCAGAGCCTTTTATGGCTAAAGCCACACCTTCGCTCCATTGCCTGAAATAATTGCAGCTTAACAAGGCGCCGGTTCGCCATTCCCAGAACCCCCCACGTAAGCAGCCCCACGGAGGCCGTCTTTGCAACTCGCAGTGCGACAGACGGAGAGTGCCGTCCATCTTGGTTAACAAGCCCTGTCAGAAATGAACTGCTGGCACCATTAAGAAAAAACCAGGAATAATTTCCTGGATGATTAACCGGCTCCCTTAGGAGAGACACGTGGAAAATACAGCTATATATTGAAGTGAAAGGTATTATGGGTAGAGGGGCGCCGACCCACTCACCTTCCGGCGCTTGGCAGGCATGCCGTGCAAATAGGCGTCTGACAGCGGGGGCTGGGCCTTCATCTTCCTCTGGGACAGCAGGTCCTGCCGAATGATGGGCATCCACTCCTGGCGGCGAGACAGAAAAACAGCAGGCCGTCAGCCTGACGAACTTCCGACAGCGTGAGGATAGGGCCAGCTCAGAGCCACGGGCGACGTGATTGGCTGTCATGGCAGGCCCCAGAAGAGGGCGCTGTTTTTGTAACTTTAACAAGGCCCTTAAAAACATCCTGGCTAACACATGGGGAAAATCCCTGCATGGCGATTAGCTATGAAACCCAATGAAGTTTAGATCTGCATAATGATTGTACAGGATGGTGTTATTTTCTGATGAAGTCGAATGTGAAAATGATGCGATAAATATGTAAATAACTGTCACTAAATAATGACTGTAGCTGAATACCAGTACTGAAAAAGTCAATAAATTAATACAAGTTTAAACTGCCATCACCTGGCATCAGTTGAAAGTATCGTACAGAATATCGCTCGCCAGAAACAGATGAAAATTCAAAGGTGATTACGATAAAGTCGAATATCGTAAAGCGAGGAGCATCTGTATATATAAAGGTCTGCATAAGGTCAGAACGGAGACCTTACTGGACCACCATCTTACTGGAGGAACCGTGGCCACCCAAGGCTCCGCCTCTCCCCCAGGCTCCTCCCTCCCAGCGGTCGCCATGGCGGCGGCCCCAGCAGACGCCCCTCCCGCTTCTCCGGACGCAGAGGCCTTGTCGGCCGTCTCCCGGGACGATGCCATGGCCTCTTCGGCCGTGGTGGCGGGGGTCGGGGACAGGGTGTCCTCCACCTAGTGGAGAGGGGGCGGAGTTACAAGACAGAGGGGTCAAGGGATGAGGGAGCAATAGGCAGCAAGATGACCTTAAACAGAGATTTTACTATTAACTTTATTAGGTTAAAGTTTCACGAGAGACGTTCCTCCAATCCACAGCTGCAGGTGGAGAGTCACACACTCACCTCCATGCTCTGGTCCACAGACTCTACAGGCAGCTCTGACTCCGGCTCTGTCTGGACAGGGGCCTCGCTCTATGATGGGGGGGTGTGGGTTAGTATTTCCCATGTGTTTGGGGGGGGTCAGCGTGCAGCGGGAGAGCTACCTGGGTGCGGACAACATAATGCAGAATCTGGTCCTCCACGATGGGGTTGTGCTCCAGTATGACGTGGAGCCTCATGGACATCATGCTGGTGAGCCAGTTCACCAAGCTGGGGTTCACCTCCGCAGACATCCGCCTCTGCAGCCAGGGGGCAGAAGAGGGCTGTCAGTGCACCAGACCGTGGGCAACGAAAGAAAAAAAAAAAAAAAACACTTGCATTCCTCTCCGTGTCTGTTTACATTACTTCCCCATCAACTGACAGAAAAAAGGGAGGAAGTGATGACAAAAGAAGAGAATGACCAGAGGTGTAGGAGAGGGGGAAGAGAGGGGGCAAAGACGCTTTTAATAAATGGTCAGGACAGATAAAGATGGGGATGGAGATGTAGATGAAATGGGAATATGATGATGGATGAAAGGAGGACAGGGGACTTAGGGAGGGGTGGGGGGTGTTACAACGCAGCACAAATGAGGAAGAAAGCTTGTCGGGGGGGTTGTTTACTGACGATGCAGTAACTGATGGAAGAAAGGCAGAGGAATTAGAGAGGGCTGGGACAGACGCAGAGAATCAGCTGTTAAGTGAGGAAGAACCTTTCACGTGAGAGACAGGAAGAGAGAGAGAGAAGGGGGAAGGAGAGAGAGAGACAGGGAGATTCACTGACAATGCGGTGGTTGATGACGGCCGTCAAGGCCCTCTCCTCCCCTCGTAGGCAGTACAGATTGAGGGCCAGGCACTCAAACAGGCCCTGAGTGCACAGGAGCAGCAGGCGGGGGCCGAAGGTGTGGTCTGAGGGGACAGGAAAGGGGGCCACCTGCCAATTAGCACATGTCGCTAACATTCTAGCACCACTAAGGAAATACAAGCTGTGGAACATAGAACAAAGTAGAAGTGAACAGAATGTGTAAGTAGCCGAGTGTGTGCGGAGGAGGCGGGGCTGCGGCCGATTGGCCAGGGGGGCGCGTGACGCCGTACCTGTGCAGCGCAGGATGTGCGTGGCTATCCGGGAAAACTGCTGCCTGAGAAAGGACACGTTGGTACGCGTGATGTCCACGCCCTCCCGCACGGTCACAGTGGACTGCAAGGGGACAGGGCTTAATGCACGATTTACACACACACTGCAAGGGGACAGGGCTTAATGCACGATTCACACACACACACTGCAAGGGGACAGGGCTTAATGCACGATTCACACACACACACTGCAAGGGGACAGGGCTTAATGCACGATATACACACACACACACACACACACACACACACACACACAGTTCTGACAGGACACCGCAGCAACATTCACACCAAATCGAAGAGGCCAGCGATTCCAGCATATAAACATGTCAACTGAACAAGCCTTGTGGGTTCTTTTTCTTTTTTTTTTATGGTCTGCCAGGAGGCGTACTTACAAAACTCTCAGCGATGTACTGCTCGAGTCCATTTATGAGGTCCTCAGCGGCACTCTGTGGGAAGAGGCAGACGCGTGAATCACCCTCTGATGCGCTTGTGAGTGACACCAAGAGCAGGCCGGACCTTTTAAGGCTGGAATGATACCAGCGGGGCCGTGCGTTTACAAAGCGCCGCATGGGAGTCGGCAGTGTTCAGCGGCCTGAGAAATGTACTTCTGACAGGAGGGCAAAGCAGTAAAGAGCAGGAAGGGTGACAGGAGAGAAACAGCCAGGTTTAGTAAAACGGAGTATGTCTACAGCTAATAATACGGAGGTAGAGCAGAGCAGTGAGAAGTCAGCAGGAGTTCAGGGAAAGCAGTGAAGAGGAAGGGAAAGGTGAGTAGATGGTGAGTAGATGGTGAGCAGATGGCAGGGAACAAAAAAGTCACAAGGAAGCATTACGGCAGCATAATGAGTATGGATAATGGAGTAGCCAATGGGAAAGGAGCGAGCAGACCATGTGACTAGAATGAGTGACAGCCATGTGCAGGACAGAGTGGAGCAGGGTTGCCCAATTCCGGTCCTGGAGGTCCAGAATACAACAAAGTTTGCAGATTTCCCTGCTGAAACACACCTACTAAACCCAGTAATTAACTGATTAAGATCTGTTTGAGCAGGGCAACCCAAGTAAGCAGGACCAGTAAGGGGCATGATAAGGGGAGGGGAGCACTTACGGCGATGTTGGCGTCGCTGGGCTCCCCGCCGTGCAGGTAGTGCTCCGTGAAGAACTGCGTGAGCTGCGGCTGGATGCGGCTGAGCGGCTGGTGCTGGCCGTGCAGAAGCAGCACCATGTCCACCATGGAGAAGCTCTGGCACACCAGAGACAGCAGGTCCCCGAAGAAGCCTGGTGCGGGAACAAAGCACACATCCCTCTTACACACGCGCCACGTGTTACTCCGATTCGATTCACAGACATGTGGCAGTCACATGTGACCAGGAGCCAATGAAGACAAAGCCAATGAGCAGGTGACACTCACGCGTGATCAGGAGCCAATGAGAACAAAGCAAACACGTGTGCCCCACACTCCCACGTACCTACAGCGTCTCCCGAGCCGGGCGTGAACAGGTTGGTGGTGTGGGAGAGACGCTGGATGAACTGGGCGATACTCTCCGTGCTGTTCTGTGAGGCCCCCAGAGAGCCCATCATAGTGGACAGCACACCCTGCACGATGCCCGTGAACAGCTCCGGGCTCAGCGTCTCGGCGGGGCCGCCCCCCCCACCGCCGGGGGCGGAGGCAGGGCCAGAGGGCGTGGCTGAAGGGGGCGGTGCGGCCGGGCCTGTAGCAGTAGGGGGCGGTGGCTGCTGACTGGCCGGAGAAAAAACCGTCTGTCCAGACTAAAGAGAGAGTAAAGGGTGATAAATATTAGATACATTAAGAACAACCATAAACTTCATTATCAGTATAAGTAACAAACCAACCTGTATGAAATCTGTCATTCCCTGGATAAAAGCAGGAACCCCAGGCAGAGTCACAGTGATGGAGGGCGCCCCCCCAGGACCCCCCGCCGCAGCGGCTGCTGCTCCCGCCACCCCAGCAGCCCCGCCCAGGAGGGAGCCCAGAAGCTGGGCCAGGTTGCCCTCAGGGGCGCCCTCTTGTGGCTGGGAGGTGTGGCCAGTAGAGGCTGTACTGGTGGTGCTGGTGGAGGTGTTGGCAGAGGAAGTGGGGGTGGAGGAGGAGGTAGAGAATGTGAAGGAGTGGGACGATGAGGACGTGGAAGCAGGGGCCTGCTCTCCTGAAGGAGGGAAGATTGGGGGAGTTAAGCAGCGAATGGAAGGCAGGGGTCTCTCATATGCAGTGCATTAACATGGCCACCAGGGGGCCCCGACTCACCCGCATGGACAGGCATGAGGAGCTGGCCTACGAGCCCACTGATCATCTGTGTGAGCGGGGAGGGAGGCACAGGGCCGGTCTGGGGGAGCGAACGAGCGAGAGATTAAACATGCCCACACGCGTATGTCCTTGCACAGTCTACTGACGATTCCACAACAATTACCTGCCCTGACTGCTGCCCTCCACTAGGGGGCACCGTTGCCCTCAGGTTGATAGTAGTCCCCCTGGTTCCCAGCGTGGGCTGGGGGATCCTGGGAGAGAAGGAGGGCCGGGTGATGACCACTCTGGCCTGGGGAGGGTGAGGAGCCGGAGGAGGAGCAGCGGAGTCTGTGCCTGCGGCCGACCCAGAGCTCGTCTGCTGCTGTCCGGCAGAGGCTGCGGCTGCCATGGCAACAGCCTGCTGGGAGATTTGGTGCACTATAGCCTGCATGAACTCCGGAGGTAGCCCAGGGATATGGACGGGGGACGTGGTTCCTGGAGAAAGGAATGCCGCATCAGTCCGGTATGCGTATACCCTGCAGGACAGGCATCATCGAGGCAGACAGACAGACGGAGATGTCAAAGTGACCACGGCCAGCTGGGTCTGTATACTAGGTTCAAAGCCCAACCTGCTAAAACACACACACAGAGCATAGAATACGAGCATTATTCAGACTCCACAGGAGAGTAAGGGCCACCAGAGAGGGAACGCCGCTCCCCCTAGTGGTCAGTGGAAGCGGGGCGTGTTGTAGGGCCAGGTCGCTTTACAGCAATGTCATTGGTGGCCGGGCTTGCAGGGTACAGCGCTCGAGCCACACAACCCCACAGGACTAGGTGGCACCCGTCCCGGTGATTCAGCGGGTATCGGGGAAGGAGGAGACCCAGAGCACTAACCGGTGTGTCCAGCCCCAGTAGGGTTTGGCTGTCCCGTGGTCTGAGGCCCACTACCGGACTCTGCTAGGGCACACAGACAGACAGACACACAGCCTATGAAACAGAGATTCACGCTGTGCGCACACGCGCGCGCGCACACACTCACACGCAGTCAGTGAGCTACACACATTCAGTAAGTTACACACAGTAAGTCCCATGTTTCTTAAACCTTTCCTTTCAAGAAGTAGAAACTGGAAATAAACCTTTTAAAAGGACAAATTCACAAGACTGGGAACGTAAGAAAGGGAAAGGCGCACCATCCAGGTTCATCTGCATCATGACCACCGGCTCCATGGTCTGGTGGGTGATCCTGATCACCCTTGGGGCACTCTGACCCTGTCCTGGCTGGCCATTGGCTGGAGTAGACTGCTGGGGCGGAGCCTGGCTCTGTGTCGGCTGCTCCGATTGCCCGGAGGCAGGAGGAGACTGCGATTGGCCCTCAGCTGCCTGTCTGCCGCTGGAAGTCATGGTCACCGTGGTTCCCAGGTTTATCTGCTATTGAGAACATCAGGGGAAGACGGGGCAGCAGGGCAATGACTAGAGAACCATGAGACTGGCCAGCAGGATCACAGGATACAGAAAACATCACGCTACCATTAGCCACAAGTGGCGTCAACCCACCGGGATGGGAATGTGGGGTACCCCCCCGGGAAGCAGCATGGGGGAGCTGTAGTGGGACAGGGGCCGCACCACATGCAGGTGCCGGGGGGGCGCTGTGCTGAGGTTGCAGCGGAGGTCACTCAGGGCCACCAGAGCGTTGCCGAGGAGACGGAGAGCCTCGGCCACCAGGTTGAGGGTGCGCTGGTCCTCCTCCCTGTCCTGCGTCTGAGAGACAGCGACGGGTGTCAGAGCATCAGTACTGGCGTGGTGAGTGACAGCGGGAGGGACGCGGTCAGGCGGCGCGGCGGGGGGGACGCGGTCAGGCGGCGCGGCGGGGGGGATGCGGTCAGGCGGCGCGGCGGGGGGGACGCGGTCAGGCGGCGCGGCGGGGGGGCGCGCTGAGAGGAACGTGCTGAGGCAGCACCTACATTGTTGTTGTAGTCGGCATTAGCGGCGGAGCCCAGGATGGACTGACTCCTCTGCATGAAGGGCTGCAGCCTCTCTTCCACACGTCGCAGCTCTGACAGGACCCGCAGCAGCTCAGCAGGGCTGGGGTGGCTGCAAGGCAGGGGGGGGGGCTATCAGGTGATGGTGGTACTACTTAGGGGAGGCTCTTCACATGGACCCCGGCCCATTTACGAAGGGCTCAGCTCCAGTGCAAAACACTCCCCAACGATGAAGCGGAGGACCCATTTCCGCCAACACGGCCAATTGTTAGCATAACATCCTTATTACCAGCCCCCCTAATCCACAGTTAACAGCTCACAGCTTCGCCCATTATGTCCCTAAACGCACTGGAGCCTTTCAAAGACCTTTTTCTCGAAATCTCCAGAGGCGGCTAGATTGCAGGAATTTTAACAAGCTGCCCGGCTGCTCGCCAGACTGGTGCTTTAATGATTCTGGCATGTCTCCATGCCTCGGGGGCGGCCAGGCGTGGGCCCCGCCCACTTAGCCGTTAAGCCGCCTCCTCCCCGGGGGCCGATTACATCACCGCTAATGGCGGGCCGCACCCTGAAGAAGCAGGCCCGGGAAAACAGAGCAGGAAGACGCCGCTCACTTGGGCCCGGAGTACGGGGGTCCCTCCGTCTGTGTCGAGGAGGAGGAGGAGGAGGAAGAGGAGGCTGGGGCTGCAGGGGCAGGAGGCGAGGAGGTGTCCATGGGCTGCGTCGGGGCTGAGGAGGAAGTGGCCGCGGATGATGCTGAGGGGGCAGAGTCCTGCTGAGACTGGGCGTCGGCGGGTCGACCCTAAAAGACAGAGCGTGTGGCTGTCGCTATGGAAACGGCACGATTTAAACCAGCTGTTCGGGGGGCAGGACAGTTATTTCACAGCCTGAAATAACCTCTAATGATATCATTTAAATGTACATAATGTAGGAAAATCACTGTTACTGTATTACTGTAGCATTATTTTTTGCCACAAGGTGACAAGATACCAGATGACAATTAAAGGACATGGAAGGTTGCCATGAGCGGAAAAGCGTTCCACAGGGGGGCGCCGCCCCACCCGGCTTCACACCTCGAGCCGGTGGATGAGCGAGTCGGTGTCCCTCAGCAGGTTCTCAGCCAGCAGCAGCCGCAGTCTCGACTCGCTCTGCACCGTCTGGTCCACGTTGATGTGCACGTCTACGGAGCCATTGCTCTGGCACGGGACAGGAGAAGACGGGAGGGGAATCAGGGCGGCCATTCCCGAAAGGAGGGTCTGAGTGCTGGCGCTCCATGAAGGCCACACATATACAAATACGGTATATATAAAAGGTTTCAACCAATCAGACCTACACTCCATGCATGCCACATCTACATATGTAACGTCTCAGCCAATCAAATCCATGCTCCACTCATACAACACACACACACATACATATTTTATATATGTATCATATATATATATATATATAAAAAAACACGTCACAGCCAAACAGATACACGCTCGATGTACGCCACACACTCGAGGTCTTACCCCGGTGCTGGTGCTCACTCTGGTGTTCCGTCCAGCTTCTCCGACCCCAGCCATCATCTGCTGCACTGACATCTGGGGGGGTTATGGATTAGGGAGGGAGGGCATGACTGACCGGAATCCTGCACCGCAAGCATTATTTATATCTCTCGGTTTGTATATTGCTTATCCCCTGTTCATGTGAACCCGCAGTGTTCAGGTAAAAAAACTGACTCCAGGTCCCCCAACAGCCCCCCAACCCCACCACAAAATGTTCTCCCACCTAACTCTAAGCACACAATATATAACACATATTTTAAATAGCTTGTGTAACACAACAAGTGACACAGTGTGCTTGAAGGTGTGAAGAAATCAATATGCAAGATCCCCCAACAGAAGAAGAGAGGGGCGGAGGGGGTGGGATTCGAACCTGCAGCCCTGGAGGTGTGAGGTGACATCGCCTCCCACGGTAGCCAGCCGGATATAAAGCGCTCACACCCACATTCGCATAATAATGACGGCGCACAAATGGACGGACGGACGGGGAGAGAGAGGCAGGAGGACGGAGTACGAAGCAGAGGCCCACCTGGATCTGCTGTGGGTCCATGATGTTCAGCGGCAGGTTGAAGGTACCCAGCATCACGTAGCTGTTGCCGTTGCGGTCGTGCACGGCCCCCTGGGAGGAGCCGGCCGAGGCCGAGTGGGGGGGCGGGGACACGCCCTCCACACCCCCCGCCACCCCAGAGACCCCACCCCCTCCACTGGCAGAGTGGGTGGTTTGAGGGGGGGCCCGTTCCACCAGGTGAATGACTTTCCCATCTACATCTAAGAGCCAGGAAGTAGTACATCAGAGGGATGCAGGAAAGAGAAGATGCAGTTATCAAACGGCAATTTGCTGTCCATCCATCCATCAATCTACCCAACCACAGTTTTTTGTATTCAGCAATAGAGTTACAGGGGACACAGAACACAAGACACCCTCTACGGGATGCCAATCCATCACAGGGCACTCACAGTCTATGGGAAATTTAGAGACACAGATTTGCCCGGCCACATTTCTTCTAACTGCATAAGGAAACCAGAGCATCCAGAGGAAAATCGCACATCACAGAGAGAACTTAGAAATGGCCGACACACACTCACACACACACTCACACACACACTCACACACACACTCACACACACACTCACACACACACTCACACACACACTCACACAGAGATTCGAACCCACCCTGGAGGTGTTATGCCACAGTGTTACCAAACGAACGTCTTGATACTGCGATATTTACACCACACACTCATCACCAACCTACACCAACTGTATATATATATTTTTTTTATATAAGCATGATACTGATACCAATAACAACAACAGATGGTTGACATGGCAGCTTTTTTTAAGAATGAAATGCCAGGAAGGTCTGTCTCTCTGGTCTCCTTCGCAGGCTTTGCTCCCTCCCTCGCTGCTAGCCTGGAAATCGAAGGCCTCTGCACTCACTGTATTCCATCAGGGTCTTCTCATCCTGCAGCACCCGGCCCTGGTAGATGAGCCTCTGCTTATCGGCGGGAATCTCCACAGAGGCCGCTATGTGCTCCTTGAACACCTTCACGGTCCACTGACGGGGCAGAGAAGCGGTTACCGCTCGACTGGACGGCAAAGTGCCGTGACACCACGTGCAGAAAGAACTGGTCATCAGACAGTATGAGTCTGGCCACCTGTCTATATAACAGCATTCATTTAAGGTAGATTCTGGGGGTTTGGGGCCCTGGGCTAAAGTCTTTGTTGGGGGTCTACCTACAGCACAGGTGTCAGACTCCAGTCCTGGAGGGCTGGAGCCCTGCACATTTTTGGGTTTCCCCTCGATTAACACACCTGATTCAACTTCTTGTGCTAATTACCACATTGCTGTTGAGCTGAATCATTTGTGGTGGAACAGGGAAAGAACTAAGCTACACAGGGCTCCGGGCCCCCAGGACTGCAGTTTGACACCCCTGACCTACAGTATAAAATGAGGCTGTAACAAAAAAATAATAATCTGGGGCCCTGAGTTATGGCCCAGGTTAGCAAATGCAAGTCCATGACTGTTAGCATTAGACACGTGATTACCTATAAGCTCTTCAGAGTGCAATACAGTTAATACAGTTTGCAAAATGTAGCAATACAGAAATCATACACCAAAACTACAAATGGGAGGCAGACAGCTTTCATTACTGCACTTAAACTGTTAAGAAGAGTCACTAGAAGCCGTACCTCTCCACGGACAGTGTAGCTCCTGCTCTGTGAGTCCAGGGTCTTGACTGTGACCTCTATACTGCCCACCTCGGCCATACCTGTCAACTTGATCACTTCACTCTAAAGGGCAGCGTTAGAGTAAAACAAATGTGATCGGTTTCGTTCACACTCCAGCGAAGCCTGCAGTTCTCGGTACTTCCTGCCCAATGACACATAACGATAATCCGGCCTAGATTACTTTTAACCACTAACACCCAATAAGTCAGTTGGTAAATACACTAAGTTACAAGATCCTTATAATACATATGCAGGAACGAAAAAAGTGCTTTAACTGATACACTCTACGGTCGGCAAACTGGTAAATCAACTGCGCAATCCTGTCTACATCTAGAAGAATCCCAAACCACAGCTAAATCAGAAAGACCAGAAAACCAGGCTGTTTAAGTAGGCAAATATACTGACAAACTCCATAGCGAACAACAGTACCGCAACATTATGGTAAGACACTGTTTAACACTGCTGTAACAAAAATACAAAATTTGATTATGAGCTTGACGATTCTTAAATAGGAAAAAAACTGACAGACACACCAACCGCGCGCATGCATATCTATAGACATATACGTAGCCTAGCAAAGCGTATCAATACCTTCGTGTTTTTTTTACTCTTCTCCCAAAAGATCTACGTCGTCGTTAAATGTCAAAATCACTTGCAGAGTTCGCCTAAGCCGTCACGCTCGTCTACAATAAAGTATGCCGCCAATATATTCCTGTTTTCCGGTAATAAACAACAAACTATATTATTACTCCTCTGTGATATGCTACTCATATTCTGACTGAGTCGGTATTAGCTTTTTTGTAAGAACGCGACACCGCCGCGGAAGGACCCCTCAGTCTCGCAGGCCGCCTGTCTATCGCAAACGCCTGAATCCTGGCCTATGTATCGTGGGATTGCATTAATTTGGATGTGTTCAAGTTTTGGAGGAATTACCACTGGGCAGGTATCCCGCATATTGGTTTGGGTTCAGGTTAAGCAATAAACATTCGTTCTGACTCCTGTGGGAATACGCACAAAAATAGTTTAAAATGTCTAAATTAAAAAATAATTGATGAATGATGACACAAAATCTGAAAAACTGACACTTTAAACTCTTTAGGCGACTCGGGCCAAGATTTCTAGCTTGTATAAAACCGTTATCTTGCCTCATATATGAATTCATATGGCCTTCGTGATCCATCTTCTGATTCGAAATAGGATAATATATATTTATTGAAAAATGCAAAGCATTCATAACAACGTAAGTAGTTGAAAAAGAAATGAGGAACAGCAGAGGTGAAGTATGATGAAGACACACCCTTGTGGCATGACGTTGTGAAACATCGCACGTCATAGACAAGGCCAATTCTGTTACCCAACTCAGGGCTCATAATAAGGATGATTATTATTTTCCATTTCAGTTTGTACCCAGACTCTGATATCATTCTCTTATGATCTTGTAACAAATGTGTTTGGTTATAAAATCTCATGGTTTATCACCTTACTATTGCTTCGGTGAGTAATAGCATAATATATTCTCAAGACACTTCGAAATTTACTTATTAGAATTGGTCAGTGGTGACTCAGTGGGCAGCATTGTGTCACACCTCTGATGCTGGAGTTTAAAATGCCAGTTCTGTACGTGTGTGGAGTTTTCCCCTAGTGTTGGCAGTGGTTGTATCAAGCCAGGTGCCTGATAGGGAACAAGCTGGGCAGAATGCCAGCCAATTACAGGCCTTCAACTCATGTACTGCAAACAATTCTTCTTCTAATTGACTGCAGCTCTCTCTCCCTTCCTCCAGACACACACGAGGTTGTTTGCTCCAGTATGCAGTACCTGCTCCCTCCTGCAGGGGGATCCATGTGAGTCGGAAAAGCCGCAAAGGCAGGAAAGAGAAAGCAAGTTTGGCAAGCAGACGATACGGCTGCTGTAACAGTAGAACCCCCCCACCCGGAACCAGACTTCCTTCCACGTAATTCAAACCTTCCTGCGACCTTATAAAACGGCGGTCATCCCCCACCCAGGACAGCTGAGGTATCTTCCAGCATTTATAAAATATGTATCTACCTCCGTGGATTTTTATATGAATTGGAAATGCTCGTGCAGAATTGCACTGCAATGCAAATTCCTACTTATTGCTAAGTAGGTGGTGCTTGTGTGGTACAGGATGACTGTGGATCTGCTCTGAAGGGTCTTCCTCTGGGAGTGGGGGGGCTCCCACTCACTGCGCATAAACATTTAGTCTGAGCTGCAGGCTGTCCAGGAGGTGCCTGTCAGTAAGTGGTAAGATCATGCTGAACTTTGATCAGTTGGTTTACTAACAGCGGGGGGGGGGGCCTTGTCAGTCCCAGCAGGCATATGCGTGTGTTGGCATCCCATCCGAAACTCTGTCCCCTGTCACAGATGGACCAAGCAAGTCCTGCTGACAGCTATGTTTTTATTAGTCTTTTTTTTTGTTATCTCCATGTCCTGGATCTCATAAACCCCACAAACGCAAACCTGACTTTTCTTCTCGATCTTCCACACGTGCCGAAGACACCCGGTGACATCTTCCAGTGGGTATGTCGCTCTCCGGGCCCAATGAACGCGGCCACAGATTGGCGTTTCACAGTGAAGTACAAACATCCAGGAATGGCCGGTCTGTCACGGAGACAGGAAGATGGAGACCTCCCCAAACATAATACTGAAGTCACGCACACATCCTCCAATCAAACAGCCTGCTCTGCAAGCCCTATGGGTGGTCTACCCGGATGTGGTCGTGTCTTTAACCATGGGAGTTACTTTACAGAGGCCAATTTGGGTCAGTTACGTCACTGTGTTTTACTCTTAAGGGCGCTGCTTGCATAACCCACTCTCAGGGCATTAATGTTTGGTTTTAAACAGCACCTGCCTCCCATCCTGTCATATCAGGGGTGGTGGCTTAATGACCAAAATCATTGTCAAAAGCAACCGAAAGTGTCAGAAATATACAGTCCATTATAATGAGGAAAGACTGGGCCGGGTGCCATCTTTAAGGTCAGTGAGATAAGGACGCCAAAGAAGCCTGTAAACAATGACAACAAGCATGCCGAAGTACCCAGGGGCCTCCTGTTATCTGTGAGCTACCCAGGGGCCTCTTGTTATCTGTGAGCTACCCAGGGGCCTCCTGTTATCTGTGAGCTAATCGAGAAAACATTCCAGTGCCTCCATGTCAAGCATATAAGGCAAACCAGCCTTCATGTACAATGCATGGAGAATAAGAGCCAAAAGTGTCATCTGCTGGATTCTGGAAGCTTCCGTTCCGCACGTCTGAAGTCCGCCAGTGTAGAAACTGAACAATCAGGGGTGTTTTAATGCATGGACTTCTGCAAAAAACAGGGGCCTCAATTAACCTTGTTTAACAAAATTACCCCCCCTCCCCCCAGCATGGGAGGCCCCTGCCCATAGTAATGTGCCCTTGTCAGCAATACAACAAAGCAAAGCGGAAGAAGTTACGTCTGGCCTGTTTTATATATAAAATGGCTGTTTATTCTCTAAATGTTCGTCACATGGGCATAAACATGCGTCACCGCGAACTGTAAACCGAAACCGAATATACAAATAACGCATGAATCACGTATCCTGTGTTTTAAGTGCTCTCCTGCCTGCGGGCATGGAGATAATGTTCCTTCCATGACAAGATGAGTTTCCCGGCTGATACACAATGTTTGTCTTCCAAACGGGGACATCGGAAACAGAGCTCTCTGATTGGCCGACGGAGGGAAGGAATTCGGCCAGAGCGGCGGGTGCGTGAGACTGCTTTGTGGGGCCGCTAATGCGATGGCAGAAACTCCCTTTTTGGAAAAGTCAGAACTAGATACCCATCTCACTTCTTTCGTTATTGTTTCTCTAAAACCCTCTAAAAAAAGAAATGTCTGTTTACACTGTTAAAAAAAGCCATAAAGTAAAAAAGAAAATGGTTGTAACCTCCTGAAGGCTGACTTCACTCTGGGCGCAGCGTAAAACTTTGGGCCCCCTGACAAAATATTGCCTTGGGCCCCCTGTGGGTACATTCTGCTGAGTGGAGGGGCCCATTCTGTCATGGTTTGCCAGTCTGTCCAGTCCACGCCCCAGGAAAACCTAAACACCCACCCCCACGATTGCAAAACCTGGGGATAGCTCTTCACTTGGTTACAATACGCCTGAAATCACACAGTATCCCACAATGCACCTGGACCCCCCACCATGACAGTCCGTGCCCGGTCGGTTTCCTTGTCTCCACTGGCCTATGTCTGTGTGGGATGCTGAGAAAACAAAGGTCGGCTAACTGAAAATGCAAAAAAAACTACAACAATGATAACATGCATGATTTGACAGGGCAGCATGAGTAACATGGAGCAATGGCCGCTGCCTCGTTGCGTCTCCTTTTGCGTCTCTCCTCAGCCCCGGCGCCGCAGTTATGTGACGCTGTCAGCTGTCTCTCACTGCCCCCCTTCACATGGACGTTTGCTGCCTAGTGAGTGTCCTTTAGCAGCGACTGGTAAAGATGCGACTGTAGGAAGCGGGGATAGCAGTCTGTGTCCAGGAGCGAGTAGATGCGGCGCTGGGCGGGACACAGCGAGCTGCGGGAGGGGGCCTGTAGCAGCTGCATGGTCAGCTCCCTCGTTTTGCCATCCAGGTTGACCTGCAGGGGGCAGGCAAGAGGCACGGCATCACTGTCAGGGAATACTATACACAAACTGGGGAACACATAGCAGGGGGATCAAGGTAGAGAGATAGGGGAACATCCCAAAAGCCAAAGGGGGGGGGGGCACTTTAATATCCCCAAGGAGATATTATGGTGCAAAGACAAGCAGACAGACACAAACAGAGAGACAAACAGGCCGCCATTACGTAGGCAGACATGAAGTCCGGTGTACAAGGTGGACTAACAGGAAGCCCCTCCCACCCCAACCCCCCCGTCGTACCTCTCTGGACGCCCCCGGCTCGATGTAGGTGGCACATATGTCCCGTGCTCGCCTCTGGAGGCTGAAGTTGGTGGAAGAGTGCCGGTACTGTTCACAGGCCAGGTAGAACTGCAGGTTCTCCTCGCTGAACTCCGAGCGCAGGAACGCCCCGAAGACAGACTGGCCAGCTGCAGGGTGTGGAGGGGGTGGGGGGGGCGATGGGGTGCCAGGCGTGTCAATGAGCAGCTCAGGAACACGCAAAGGAAGCACACGCAAAGGAAGCACACGCAAAGCAAACACACACACACACACACACACGCACAATAAAACAGCACTGTGCGATGTGAGAGTACCTCAGGCCAGAGCAGAAGCAAAACAACCCCCCCTCGCTGAAATGGAGTCCCCAACGACATCTCGTCTACAGCCTCATAAATAAACACATAACTTCATTCCCTCTCTGAGGTTCCTCACTTTATCGCTCTCTCTCTTTCTCTCTCTCTCTCTCTCTCACACACACACCATCCTCTGCTCCAACAAAGGGTTGTGACATGTTTTGCTGGAGACCACAAGCGTGGGCGGCGAGAGAAAAGGGGGGGGGTCGTTAGCCGATGCTAACCAAGTAATTTACGAGTCGCACCATTATGTGCTGGGGGGCCCATTGGGAGCGAGGGGCTGCCTACATGCTGCCTGCTAGGATACCGTGCTGGGAGGGGGGCTGAGGAGAGGAGATGCTGTGGACACATTAATGCTGGGGAGTGTGGGGGGGTGCGCTTAATGCGGCTGCACGGAGTGGATGCAGATTCTGGGGGGGTAATACAGGCAGGATGACACAAAGTCATGGCTGGGCCCCTGAAAAATTCTACTGAATGGCCCCCATCTTCTCCAAACCAAGCCTACTGTTACCCACACTCATGAGCGCCCCCTAATGTCTGACCTCCTGAAAGTCTTCCCTTTTCTCCCCCCCTACGTTTGGCCCTGGAAAGTGATTTATTAAGTGTTTAAGCTTTATACTATATTAAAAAATAAATAGAAGTGAGAGAAAAGCTGCGAGTATACGGGCATCGGGACCTTGGGGGATTCTCGCCGCTGGGCTGCGGAAGTCACACACAAGCAAACGCACATCCATTAGCTGGGTACAAACAGGCAGCTCTGTAAACAAGGTGATGCCTGTAATCTGACTCCCTGGGGAACGGCGGCCGGGAGAACGGCCCGCGGAAATCGCCATCCCACCGAGAAGCGGAGTAAGGAAGCAACTGGAACTCCCACCATCTGGAATAACTGGGCCTTCGTTATCAGGCCAGGAACTCCGGGCCGGGTCCCTCGAGCCTCTGGATGTGCCGAATGAGAGGAACATCGCCGGAGGACAGGTCGCCGGGGTTCTGGTTCATGTGAAGGTTCTAGAAAGGCCTCAGAAAGAGACTTCCTCTCTACTGAGTCTCAGGCTGGCCCCCCTCCCCCCAAAATTAGTCCCCACAGCTGGCTGAGAAGCTAAAAGCTCACTTGGGCCAGAGATGGAGAGAGAGAGCAGAGCCTGAGAGACTCTGCCAGAGCAAGCGGATTATCAGTAAGCGCTAAATTCACACATACGGAGAAGGTCGTTCTGAGAAGCTGAAAAAGACGCCGTTAAAGTTCCCCTGCCTGCTGACGTCACTGGTCATAGTTCACAGTCGTGATGGTGCACGCCCAAAAAAGCTAGAAACATAATCTCCTACTGTAGTGCCACAAATCACAGATTCCCAGTTTACAGCCATTAAGTGAACAGGAGCTCAGCTCTGTGCCCCAGTGCAACCGGAGACACAACATTTTTTTGCCTGTTTTTATCCCTTGAAAGAACAAGAAAAAAGACAACTTGTTTTTCTACATATCACACAACCGATCGTCCAGGACCCCGGAGAGATGGAGAGAGATTGAGGGGTGTTGGGGGGGGATGGGAAGGGTGTGCTCGGTGTCATAGAAACCAAGAAATGACCTTAAACTAATCTGGGAAACTCGATTTTGCCCTTTAAAGGTGATATGCAAAGTATATGCGATTGCTTGAAAGCCTGCCACTTGTTTATTGAGTAAGAGTTTTTCCAGAAACCAGTTTAGCAGAATCCATGCTGTCACAAGAAGCATGTGCCACACACGGGCCGTGGTGTCGCCGACGGCAAAGCCCCCCCCCCACAAAATGAGTGCTAGAAGCAGTCAGCTCCTCCCTCGGCTAGAATTAAGACCCAGAGGCTATGCTAAATCACGGCCAGCCTCAGCCCGAACCGCTTTCCCATTATAATTACCCCAGCCAACAGGCTTATTTAACAATCTCACAGAAACATGTAGAAATGGTGCCACCCGGACTGGTCTGGCGACTCCGTGCGTAAGGTACTGTGATTACGTCGTCAACGGGCCTGTTGTGCAATGAAGATATGGCTGAGTGACACTTCAAAATCAACCATGACCTAGTACTGATAAACTTTACGAAAGACCACTGGACGGATTTCAAACTGTACTGTATTTTGTGAAAACTTTAGCGTATATTTCATTGGTATGAGCAATAAGATGCACTTTGAACCATCATATGTTTTTCTAATTAGTGATGTACATTTAGGCAGCTTGTGTCATGTGACAGGGCACTCAGGATTGGGTCATGTGACAGGGCACTCAGGATTGGGTCATGTGACAGGGCACTCAGGATTGCGCACACATTAAATTAATGCAGAGGAGCTGCTAAGGTGGCGACCAGCAGTTGTGGAATATGCAAATAAAGGCGGAAGGACACTCACTGCGACTGGCCAGCAGCACATTCAGAGACTCTGCCCACGACAACAATTCCTCGCGGCTGAGGCTGGCGTTGCCGTGGCCGACCTGACTCCATTGCCGGAGGAATGGAAGGCGGGACCTCCTCTCTCTGGTCCTGCGATGGAGATACAGCCGTAGGTTTAGCTGGGCCCACAGCATACCTGCGCTGGCATGCGACCACTGTCTCACTGCTGCATGGTGGCGTGACATGTTTGTACACGCAGGACAATCTGGTATTTCAGTCCTATATTTCAAGATCTGTTTTATTGTTTCCTGTAAGCAAATGACATACTTCTATATGCTGAGGGCACGAAGAATGAATGAAAATGATCACTGCTTATGATTCCTGAACCATCATAAACAGATTTGTGCATTGGCATGCTTTACGGCTATTAAGAATTTTTTTTCTTTTCTTATTTTTGTTTCTTTCTTTCCCCCTTTTCCTGTCCTGTAGTGAAACACCTACAATTGTCCAACATATTCTTAACAACCAGCAAAACCAGAAAACTAATTCAATCCAAGAAAATAACAGCAACATAGTGAAATTTCTATCGTAGCAAATAAAGACCCCTTCTTATTTGATAACAAAGTCCTTCCCTGACGCGGTGTAACTTATAACCCCGCAGCTCCCACAATCCCTTGCCAATCTCACCTGCTCTCATTGTCTCTCTGCTCTGAGCTGACATGGGTTGGGTGTGGCGTTTGGTGGTTCTGAAACAGACCAGAGTGCTTTAGTGGCTTTTAGGGGCACCCAGAGACCCCAGTCACATGGCAGTGAGGGACACAGCCACTAAGAGAGAAGCAGCGGACGAAGAAGGTTACCTGTCCGAACAGACTCTTCAGGTGGAGTTTGGCTGCTGCTAGCTTGGCCCGAGCATGTTGTCTGTGGAGGGATCTGGTGGAGTAGGGGGCTGCTGAGGTAGGGGAGGAAATGGGGGATGGTCGCTCGCCTTCGGCTGTCCCCGGGGCCAGCTGGCTGTCACTGTAAGCCCGGCAGCTTTCACTAATGGCCCCCACGCCCAGAAAGCCATCCGTATGCTCCAGCTTCTCCAAGCCAGACAGGTTTTCCATGCTAACGCTGAGCTCTTTGACTAACTTTCCACGTTCCTGCCGCTGTGCGGGGGCCGACTCCTCCCCGGCCGCTGTGACCGCCATCCGGACACCCGGGGAGGGATCTTCGCCTGGGCACGGTGAGTAACTGCTAGCCTCACCATCTACCTCACAGCCTGGCTCGATCAGGGTCACCCGTTTCCAGGGCAGAAGGTCCAAGTCCAGCAAAGAGCCTTCGGAGCTGAATCGGCGCATGGCTCAGAGAGGGAGGGGGGTCCTGCGGAGGTCAGGGGCAGGGGGGGGATGGAGTGTGATGGACCAGTCACAGTGGGATCCGGGGTTAAGAGAAGCTAACGGGATAAAGTAACTGTGGCCGATAATTGGGCAGATGGCAGATATTAGGACCAGTGTTAGAGCAGATGGGCGGATCGAAGAGTTGAAGAGGGTAGGATTTAAATAAATGAACACCTAGAAAAAAAGAGACGGAATGTGGTGGCTATATAAGTAGATCGATAAAACAAAAAACGTGCCATAATATGCAGATTTATCGTACACTTTTATGTCTGCCATGTCTATGCAAGCACAATACGACGGGAGTGGCGACGGGATAACGACAAAGCGACAGCACACAAGATTCAAAAGTCACTACCTTGTGGCTTACAGCCAGTGAGATTCCTACTGCATATAAGAGGAAGGACGTTAAACATCGCGTTGCATTTAAAACACTCGATTTACCACACTTACTACACCCACTATCAATGTGGAAATCGTGTCGAAACAGATATAACTATACACACACGTTCGTCTATCCACATACAACCAGTGCAAGACCAAGATCATTCTTTTCCAGCACTTAAGTCTCTGTGCTGGGTCTATAGGTAGGCAGACTGAAGTGACTGCTTTTTCTGATTTTGACCTTGAAATGTTGCCATGCATATCACTACCCTGTGTGAGAATGTTTTCTTGAAACGGCGTTTAATTGTAACGCAGCCGAAAAACGACAGTCACTAAGCTAGGATTAAAAACCGCAGTAAATGACATTCCACCGTAATTACATGAGCAGCCACACAAAGTACACTTCCAAAGAAATATTATATAACATGTTAATAATAATTAGACGAATCAGGTATGGCAACTTGTAAAACTAATTAATGAAAGCAACTCTCGTATTTTACCTTACAGTAATTCCCCCATCATTTTTCCACAGGTGGTTCAGTTCTTGGTTGTCAGTTCCCTGTCTCTAATGCGTGCTGATCGCCGGTTTTAAGTCGGTACACTTGAGATTTTATCTCTAGATATCGCACGCTATCCGACGCCGCGGGTTACTCGAGTTCTGCATTGGCATTAATCGTCGTTTGTCAGTGGCACCTCATAGATACAGTGCTTCTTTGTGATCGAGGACCGGCTATCCTTAAAGTTACGTTGATGTTTGTTTTTTTTTCCTATTCTGAGTTGCCTCTAACACTTGGAGAGAGACGCCCCGCGTCTTTTTGCCCCACCCATTCTAGCTGCCTCAGCTTGCCTCTCTCGCACGTCAGCATAGTTTAGGTGTGTGCTTGAAAGACGGGATAACCCGCTTTCTCTACAAAGTTTTAAGCCTTATGGGTTATATTTCACAATTCAAATTCATATATATGGAAGATGATTATTATTATTTTTTTTAAAAAAGAAAAACCTTTGCAAAGATGATCATATTTGACAGGATTTATACAAGTCACTCATATCAAAATTATGTAACTTTAAGAGTTTAAAGTGTTCTACATATTGAAAGGAAAAGAGCCTATGTAGAATAAAAACAATTAAAAACTGATAAAGCATAATTCCTTTTACGCTTTTGTTCTTTCGTAAGAAATGGGCCTATATTTGTCAATCGTTCAAATTGAATTTTAAACAGCTGTAAATCAATACAGTATACATTGGATAAATGTATTATTGACTACAATCAGGTGGGGCATTTTAAATATTTTACAATACTAATAAAAAATATTTTTTCAAGTAATGCTGTCGGAGGTGGTCATTTTCAACGTCGTTACCTATCTATCTCATTTAAATCGTCTGCGGCGCCATCTAGTGTTAAGTATACATAATATACAACAAAATGATCTAATCGCAGTAAAAGGGGCTTTGCCGCTTGTTTCCAAATAGAACATATGAAATATCAGTAGTTTCATATTGATAACATAATTGTTCCAGGAAAATGCGGATAACTAAGATTTTGTCATCTATACAATGTAAAACCCACTCACTGTGAATAAGTAATCAAAGCATATTTAAACTTAAGACTTCAGCTGATCTGTCAAGGTAAATTGTCTTCAAAAACGTCGTTGAATGAAATATTTAGAGCACGAGCAGTATAGAATAAATGTCGATTTCTTTTTCACTGGGTCCTTGCTTTCGCTTTATATAATCTACTCTCCTGCAGTCAATAAAATTGGCTCATTCGAGGAAATGTTTTCTGCTGAGGTTTTTCTTACAGTATAAGCTTTTTTTACTTTTTACATATTTTTTTCTTCCTGCAGAACTGCTGCGGTTTTTTTTTCCTGTTTGGCAATTTAATCCACATACGGTTGTATGGTTGGACTTGCTGAACTCGTCTTTGATGGACAATTTTTTAATCATATTATTGTAGCATGCGTCTCTCACCAGTACAAGCTGTATGCGCGCAGCACCGCCTGAGGAAATCCCAGCGCACCGCCCTCTTCTTCGCTATCATTAGCTCTCTCACATCACAAGTAATGTTAGTCCGCGTTTCTTGCTTGCTGATAAACCAAATCCATTCATTCTTCTTTTTTTAATAGCTGCTGAACCGTAAGTGGGATTTTCATGAGTAGATCTCCGCATGCCTGTAATTTGGCACGGAGTGACATTGCGGAAGATTTAAACGGGTGGGAGTGAAACCGGGCATCGTATCAGAAGTGGCAGCCTCTTCAATGGGCCTTATTGGTCATTTTCACATTACGAAAGCGTAAGTTAACAGTGAGAGACGTTGGTAAATTATGAAAGATAACTCCCGGTTGTGGTTTGACAGAGAGATGGCATAGCGGATGCGCGACCGGCTAAAAGTTAGTGTTCGGGACCCGGCATATCAACATACTGTCTAGGCAGTGCCAGGGTCGCATTTACTTCAGGTCTTAATTTAAGGGCAACTTAGCTTTTAATAGTTTAACCTTTTGTAACAAAATCCAAAGAAGTGCTATAGCTGGGGAATAACACCAAGATCCAATCAATGGCATTTCATGAACGTGAATCGTACATCAGTACGTGCAATTTATTATACATGTTAAATGTGCCGCACAACAGGCATTACAGATGTGAAAATCATTTAAAAATACCAACTACAATAACGCAAGATATGATTTTTTTTGGCAATGATAGGAAAGTCGGGAATCACCATTGTGCATGGTCTGAAATGGCAAAGATAGACGGAGACAGGACAGGCGGCATCACTGATCTCCGATAAGTAGCCTATTTGGCATACACACGAGATGCTGTATGTATTTTAGGTGAGGGATGCCCTCACGTACATCCATCTCCTTCACCATGGCCGGGTGCTCCTGAACTCCTGTTTCCGACGGATCCACTGTGCTGTATAGGGCCCCTCCCCCACTGTCCAAGACCACACCCCCAGAGTCCCCTCGTTGGTTCCCCCCATATGCCCCACCCACCCCCAGCCCAGCACATCACTCTGCTCCAGTGTCGACCTCTGTTCCTTGGCCACCCCACCTTCCCTATCTGGCTGCATTGCTTCTTTGCTCCCTGTCCTCCCTCCAGGAGCTAAGGGGGTCTGGGCATAGCGTGAATCTTTCCTGGAAAGGGGGAGGGGGGGGAGGGTGAGGGGCAGGGCCTGAGATGGAGCTCTGACCGGAAGTAGGAGGGGGAATGGGAGAGAGAGATGGAAAGAGAAAATTTAATTCCTCTTCTTTAAAAGGCTGTTTGAGAAGGAAGACAAGGTGCGGCCTGTAGCAGTACAGGAAGGAAAAGACAGTCTGCACCTCCTCAGGGTAACTCAGGGATACTGGAGGCCAGTGATGTACAAGAATGTTGGGTGTGTGGGAGGTGCCGATCCACAGAGAAAGAGAGAGACAGAGAGAGAGAGAGAAAGACAGAGCGACAATGAGAGAGAGAGACAGTAAGGGAGAGAGACAGAGAGACAGAGCGACAATGAGAGAGAGAGAGAGAGAGAGAGAGACAGCAAGGGAGAGAGACAGAGAGAGAGAGAGAGAGAGAGAGACAGAGAGAGGCAGTGTCACTGGCAGCAAACGGAAAAGCAGCTGGCGGCAGGAGAAAGGCTAACAGGAACACAATGACTGCACACTGAATTCTCTCTGCAAAGTGACACATTGTTACACTGCAGAAGACAGTGTCTAACACCAAAACAAGGACCTCCACCCAGGGCTCATCCATTTCAAATTATTTTAATTGCATCCATGCCACAGTGTTCGTTATGATGTCGTGAGCGAAAGCAGAGCACTGTGCTGTTCCCGCCTCCGGATCTGGCTTGGTTTTAATTTTTTGCAAAACCTGTGTCTTTGGAAGCCAGAACTGGAATATCTGGCACAGTTTTTTTTTCCCAGCACAGATATTTCCCTCGAGCTGTGAATGTGTTATTCCCGGAGCACGGGTTCCGAGATCCAGCCAGTACCCTGGGAGAAACGTGGGCCAGGCCCAGCCGTGCGGGGGCGCTGAGACGCCGCCTGCAGACTTTTCTTTCCCCCCTCTGTGAATAAGCAGTCGTGAATCCATGAGCCCGGCAGCGAGTGTGTGAAAACTGGTGACAGACAGAATTACCCGGGTGTTTATTATAAAACATCCTACGTCAGCCTCACAGAACCCGAGGCCATGCTGTTCTGCGGCTGGGTGCGGATCCTATGACTGTGTTTAACACCCCAGCTGAGACTCGGACCAGCTGTGGTTCTGCCACACATTTATGTTCCTGGCTGCACAGGGGTGTATACAGGGGGGCGGGACCACAAGGGCACTGAAAGCTGATTGGCTTGCAGAGTGCTCCCTCCCCTGTCACTCATTGATTCAAAACATAAAATTGGCTAACAATAAGATTGGCCCCTCTAATGCCCCCCAACCTTAAAAACTCCTAGAATCACCCATAGTTGTGGCCCCATCATGCTGCTGCGTGAGGCCTACAGCGCCCCTGGGGGTTCTGCCATAGCAAACCTGCGTATGTCTGTGTGTCCCGAGGTAGGTGCCTGGACCCCTGCGTCAGCCTCTCCCCCTCTCTGCACTGGCTGCAGACCTGGGGAGGGGGCACACACACATCACTGCCCTCAGACAGCAGGCTGGAACCACACTCCCCCTGAGAAGGGGCCTGGCATTCCTGCCATTTGAGCTATAGCTGTGTGAAGCATGGAAATCAGGGCTGCCAGCTCTCACGCGTCTGGCGTGACACTCACGCGTTCTGACTCTCACACTCACACAAGAAATCTTACGGCAAATTATTCCATTATAAACCTAAAATTAGCTACGTCATAAGCTCTGGGGTAGCCTGCAAACCTACAGACTATTTACGAAGTAATAAAACTGTTACATGCATGTAAATGAGTATGCATGAATGTGCAGACTAGTCTGGAAATAAAAATCTCACGCCAGCCAGCTGACCAAATTTGACAACCCTGGGAAATATTTATTGCTGAAAAGTCACATGATCAAAATGCTCATTTTGGTCACATGACTAAGTTCCCAAAGACAAGCTCCTTGGCTTTTGTCAGCGACCTCACCGGGCAGCTTGAGGACATTCGGTAGTCCCTCCGGCGGCGGGCCGCGGCTTCTGTCATCGACACGACGACTGCAGTGGTTGCCCCGGGCAACCAGGCCCTGTTCTCTGTGTGGAGGGAAAAAAAGGAAGAAGGAAAGGCAAGGCCAGGGAAGGAGGAGGGAAAAGACAGGGGCAGTGGAGGAGAATGAAGGGGGGGAGCAATGGCAAAAATGAAGAGTAAAGAAAGCAATTGGAAGGAAGATGGAAAAGAATATAAAAGCGAGGAAGTGAAACATTAAATGATACTTGAAAATTAAACAAAATTAAATCAACAAAAATCTTAAAATATAATAATGTGATGTAATGCCATCTAAACACATACGTGTATAAGAAAAGTGCATAAAAGTTTATGTCCTAAAATCCATAGCTTATGCGCAGAGTAAAAGTCAAATAAATTATAAATTCTGCTTTGACAGAGAACTTTGTGGTAAAAATTCCTTTGATCAAAATGTCCATCAGAAATCCCCATCGTGTTGGCCTTAGTCATAGCTGTAAAATGGGTATTTATAGTTCTGAAGCTTTAAGATTGGTATTTACTCAGTGTAATAAGGGAGGGATTTATTGATTTACAGACTGGCAGTCATCAATACAATTTGATTTTGTGATTTTATTGGAATCGGCATCTAGACAGTCGTAGAACAGTGTTTCCCAATCCCATCCTCAGGGACCTGCAGAAAGTCCATTTTTTTGCTCCCACACTGTGGCAGGGAGCTGGGAGGAAGCAAAAACGTGGACGTCTGAGGGTTGGGAAACGTTGGGAGACGTAGATGAACGCATCCTTCGGAGGTTCTTAAGGAAAGGCCAAGTGACTTCACACACAAACAGTCAGATGTTCAGCCCAGTGACACAAACAGTGACAGTTATACCCCGTGTTAAATGCTCTTTACTGCATGGATCAAAGGATGGCAGCCATAAGGAAGGAATACAACGGAATGCTAAAAACAGTCCGAAGTTAAAAATCTGTACCAATGTATTAAAAGAACAGAAACTGTTTTTACAGACTTTGTGGGTACAATTCCATGAATTGATGTGCAAAAGTTCACCTACAATGCCACATGTATCAACACAAGCACTGGACAGATTTGATGAGGAAGTGTGGGAAATTTAGGTACACTAGTATTAAACGGGAACTATTACAGAGTTATTTACCCATTAAATGGGATTTATGGGGATTTTTACTTTAACGTTACATTTCCAATGAGCTTCCAAACGTTTTTCATACACCTACCCCTTATCTTCCCACCCCAGCACCAGTCCAACAACATGTAGATTAATTACGACATATTTCCTCCCAAAACTCCCTTCCCATCTCCGGTCATCTACGAAGGTATGTAAATGGGTCTGAAGCCACAACCCTCTGGTTTGTTTTCAAACGGGAAGGTTCAGCTAAAGGGTCAAACTGGGTTCACTGGAAGGAGAGCCGGGAGCGATTGAGGGAACTGGAGCAAGGATGGAGTGGAAAGAAACAGGAAGCAAGAGGGAGAGGAAAAGAGGCAGAGGGAGATGAAGGGTGGACACAGGAGAGAGGATGAGGATTGGGCGACGTGGATATGATGGATGGAGTGTGAGTGAACAGGAAAGACGGGAGGCAGAGCGTTAAAACCAGTGTGGCATCGCAGAGGTAGAGAAGTAGACAGGAGCAGGTTAATTAAGAGGAAAGTGAGGCGCAGTTGATCTTAACGAGACCAGAAGCTACAGAGTACGATATCAGGAGGCACCACAGGTTAGGGCCACTAGTCTCCCTGTAGGTGGTGACACTGACAATTTCGTGGTGCAACAGCAAAAGAATCCATGCTACAGCTCCTGCAGTACGCATCATGGCCTCATACAAAGGGGGGCGCTAGAGAGACAGTTTTACCTGGTACGTCTCGCTCTGTAGTTCACGCCGTCTATGAGCTGGTTTTGCGGCGCCTGCCCCCTGTAGGCCCCAGAAGCTGGAGTCAGGCGCAATGGGGCCCGGGTGGGGGAGGATCCCACGCTGAGGGAGCGGGAGCAGGCAGAGTTCTGGGAGAGGGGAGGGGAGTGAGGTGGAGCCTGGGGTCGAGCGAAGGGCCAGGGCAGGGCCTTCTGTTCCTCCCGCAGAGCTGAGGAGGCGGAGGGGGTCAGGAAGGAGGGAGGATCACCACAGCTGCGGGGAGCGCGCCCATCTCATGCACCGCCTCATTTTTACATTCTCATTCCTTCCGTTTACACATTTCTTTACTTTGACCTCCATTGTGTATTCTTCATCTTTGTTCCTTACTTTTAATACCATATGTAAAGCACGTCAAGCTGCATTTCATCGTATCAAAAGTGCTACATAAATAAAGATTTTTATTATGCGTTATGTTATATTAATTGAGCGACAGAGGTTTTGAGAAAGCAGAGTCAGTCAGGCCCTGGAGCAATTGGGGCTCAAGGGCTCAGCACTGAAATCACTCTGGCGACCGTGGGATTTTAACCAGTGACCTTCTGGTCTTAACTTGCCAAGTCGCAAACCACTTCACTCAACTTCAAACCTTTAGAGACAGCAGGTAAATATCACAAATAACTCCGTATTATTATTACGCAACGGCAGTGATGGTGGCCGTGATCTAACCATTTTTTTCCCTCATTTTTGTGACGCATTTCACGGCTAAAAGGCTGCAACCACAAGAGCCACCGAGACCAAGGCCAGGAAAGCGAAGGTGGCGTCACACAGACATTATTTACCTTAGTGGAAGACTTGTGGGTTTAAATAAAGGACCTATTATTTAGAAAACTCCTCTCCGCAGATAAAAGCACCTGCTGTTACGGTGAAATACACCGTTTCGTGCAGCAGGAAGTCTGGTGGTTAGGGACAAGGACCTTAAAAACTACCTGAATGTCACTTTACCTCTGAAACAATTCGTACCCTAGAGGTAAACAACCTAGTTCATGGTAAAATATTCAGTTATATAAATGTAAGTCAGCAAAGAGAATTGAACAGTGAGTGTTTTTATTACAGCCTTTGTTGCTTTAAATCTGATTTAATATTGAATTAATCCAGTGCCCACGAGAAGCAGTTTTATTATGGGTTTTGCGGCAGCCTTCCTATCACATGGACAGGAATCCAGAATATTCCGTGCCTGAAAGCCTCCCAATCCCCGCAGACCACACCGGCCCCCGATGTGTCGTGAGGTTCGCATAAAGACAGACAGGAAGCTCCTTAAATGCCGGAAAGGGACTCGTCTCTCACCCTCTCTCTCCGTTAGCGAGTATGGCTTGATTTCTCCCTCTGGTTTCTTCGGGGGAACCTTGCGGACTGGGACAGCTGTGAAGGTATGAGAGACGGTGAGGTTACGCATCTACAGGGGAACTTCCAAATGCCAAACCGACAGAGACACATGGACAGACAGACAGACACGTACACACACACCCGCGTCCGCAATGCAGGCCACAGCCGCCCCCACATGGGACCTGGAAACACACGTAGGCGGAGGGCATCTGGGGTCACGGAGGGCGCATCACACCGGCGGGCTGGCAGACTTACACAGGGCTGATGGGAAGGTGGAGGACTCTAAAACTGGGACACTTGGCTGTGTGCTCAGTCTGGGGTGGGCTGGCGGGAGGGGGGGGGTCATGAAAGGGTCCAAAACCTTCTAGGGCCATGGGGACAAGCAGGGTAGGGACACAAGGCTCATTTTAGTAGGAGCTAGTGAGTAAGTTTCTCCTCTAAGGGAGGTATGAGCTGGGAGTCTAGAGGCTGAAACGGGAGGTGAGAGAGTGGTATGAGGTGAGGGAGGTGGACAGCGAGAGTGCAGGACTCTTCACCCAGGGGGGGCACGGATGTCGGACGCCTTGCGGGGACAGTGTCGGGGAGCCACAGCCCGGGGAAGGGGGTGGCGTGGAGTAGAGGTTATAAATCACCTCAGAGGTTACAAATCACCAGAATGACACCTTTGAAACCACTGGCCGCCTGAAGAGGACACCTGGTGTAAGATGGGACTGCATAGACTTCTAAAGCACAGGCCTGTTCTTAAAACTACTAACAAATTAAATATCCCAGAGCTTTTCAGCATTTCTGTCAAGGCTGGGAAACTAGCTATGGAGTACACACTCAGTGTGAGGGGGAGGGGCTGGGGGATGTTCGGCCAATCACGATGGACAGAGTGCCCGAGGGGTAACACCCACCAGTGGCCTCCCAAGCAACTAGCGAACACCGTAAGAGGGCCGGGACACCCACACCATCCCGACCCGGCAGCGATCACTGCCGTAGCGGAGGCGTCGAGGGGGCGGGACCAAACACGGGAAAAAAAAAAAAAAGAAGAAGAAGAAGAAGAAACAGCCCAGAAATAAGTGGAGGAAACAGGATGAGATCTTGGGGCACCATACCTGAACGGTTCCGGAAGAATCCGTCGAACACTACAAAGTTGTTGACCTGCAGGGGGCAACAGAGCAGACCAAAGTTGTTTTTCAATGGCTGCTGAAGAGTCAGAGAGCCAGCTTTTCCGGGTCGCCTGGCTGACTATGGGAACAGCATCACCTGGGATCAAAGCCCATTACCACCAAAAACCCATCGAAGTTGTGTTATGAGTCACAGTTTGTTGCTAGGCATGGAAACTCTGCCTCTAAGGGCATGAGTCAGAGGAACACAGAAGGCTGACACCCTCTATCTTTCACACTATCAGTACCGGGATGTTTTTTGCAATGTCATACCAATATGATATCCATGAGAGTGGGTGACATAGTGGCTCACCAGGTACACATGTGGTATCACACCGCCAGCGGTATTACAGCTTTTAAGTCCCACACCTGCTCTGTGTAGTGTGTGTGGAGCTTAAATATTCTCCCCGTGTTGCATAGCTTTCCTTCAGGTACTCCAGTCCAAAAAGACACACAGTTAGGTTAACTGCCCGTAGTATACAATTCGATGTGCCTCATGACGGACAGGCATCCCGTCCAATGGGTAGCACTGCTTCATGCCCCACGCTGCCTGGATTGGCTCCCCCACAACCCTGAAATATGATTGGAAGATGGGCACCACCTTTATAAAGGGTTTATCAGTGGTTTACAATCAGGTTATTAATTAGGTTGTAACACTTTGCAAAATACTAACAGACAATTATAAACAAGTTGCTACACATTAATGAATTACTACCATTTATAAGTGGCAAAGGGGAGCTTTATTGTATAGTGGTACCAGAAGATGAATGGACTGACATCCATGGCAGATCACTGATTTCCCGTTTCAGATGCATTAAAAAACCCAAGGGTCCTTTCTAATCAAATTCCACAAAACATCTGTCTACACATATGCCTGCTTAGTAAATAAGATTTAAGTATTAACAGACGAATCACCACGATAACGTGGCTAAATCGAAGTATCCTCTCAGTCTGCATAAGGTTGACGTTTTTCGGGCCGATTCTAACCGTCATCTGAATTTAATAATGATGGTTTCCACAAGTGAAATGTTTGCAAATATTATAAACCAACAAGGTCCTTTACTGGAGAAACACCGTTTGGATCTTACCCACTTCAGACATTTTCCTTTTGAACTCGTCACTTTTTGCATGATTCACACAGAGCCTCGGCATCCTGAGATCCACTCTGCTCAAAGACGGGGACTTTTATTCCTGGCTATTTGACCAGAATTATAACAGGCCAGTGGCTCAGGTTTCCCCTCTGAAAACGGGACTATAGAACATGTACTGTGAGACACGCCACCAGCCACAACCTTTTACACGCCACAGATTTGTACCACTGTTCCATTTATTTCATAAACTGCAGATTTTTTATTCTTGTTAAGCATTAGGAAGTTGTACTACTATAAATGAAAGTGAACGACTATAAATGAAAATATAAGTCAAATAAAACAAGTTTCCTTTATAACATGGAAGGATTATGTCTGACATCCTATTAACTGGGTGTGTGGGGATGGCAGCCAAACTTTAAATGCACAAGTTAACTGCTTCCTCCCACGAAATAGAGCAACATTTAATGTCCCTTTTAGAACAAAATGCCTTGAATTTTCTCTGCTGTTATAACTGTCAGAGGAAGTTACTTTGATGAATGAAAGATATGACATTTTCTTACTAATAAAGGTACTCAAATGGTGAATACTGCAAATTTATTTGCTAGCCAACAACACATTGTATTTTTAGTAAATGTTAAGCGAGTAACATGCAAATGTAGAAAATCTCAGTGTATGCACTGACTTGTAGTGTATTTCATTATAATTGTAAGGGCTCTTATTATCGTTTGCAAATCACTGATGTCATGAATTGTCTCTCTCAGCACAACATTCTGGTATCAGTGTCAAAACACCAGCTGTTTTTTTTCCCAGTAACTGTATTATATGACAGGATGAATAATACAAATCAGTGCATTTTCATGCTCCTTAAGGTGGATTTTTTCCTCAGCAGAACTATACTGTGCCTTGCTAAAGAATAACCGGGGAGTGTCACATACCTGAGGTACGGCATCTTTCAGACCGCAGTGCTTTTCCAGGAAGGAGAGGAATTTGGGAGAAGGTCTGTCATAGGCCAGCTGCACAGGGTCCACCCTTTTGTTCTGACCAATCACAAGAGATCGAAACAAGCCAATGAGCTGTGTGCTTTGATTTAACACTGTATTTAGCATCCCCTCGGTTTCCTTTGACCTTCGAATGCTGTGACACAAATTAACCGTGTGACATAATTTCCTTATCAGTTATTCTGTGACTCAGCCACATTGATTAACGAGTTTAGCAACATGACCCTTGGACAAACTGCAACCATTTGCTTGGGAATCTATTTTCTGCACTATGGCTACTTGACCCCAGACTGTTGTCATTACTCACCAAACCCAGAGGATGCAGGTGAGGACAGATCTATCATCGACAGAACAGTCATTATACCTCAGGCCCCACTGTGATCTGTGCTAAACCACCCCCGCCCCTCAAAGTGGTCTATAACTTTTAAACAGATTTGTATCATTCATTCATTCATTCATTCATTCAATCATTCATTCCTGGAATACAGCCTTGATTCCAGTTCCCCTCCACAGTCAAACGTTACAACTCTTCACCTTCCCACTCTGGAGTCTCTCCCTCTCTTGCCATGGGCCACATCCTTATCTCCACCCCACCCTCAAGGCATCACCATGACAACCGGTGTCTCTTACCCGGAGCATGAAGCGGAAGAGCTCAAGGCCATAGCCATGCCTCTGCATTCTCTCCGCGACGAAGAAGTCCAGAACGCAAAGCGGCTCCGTCTCTACATGTGCCCCCTGCTGGTCCTGCGGTGTCATGACAATGTAAAGTATTCACATCAGTACAATGAAAATGTTTTCCCTAATTAAATATGAAAGCTTGCCACTTTCACACACAATCACAATAGTGGTGACAAGACCTAAACTCACCAAAAATAGCATCAAACCCCAATGCTAAACATGATACTTTAAATGACATGTAAAAGAACCTTAGCTTTTAGTGCTGAATGAAGACGACAGCTGACTGGCTACCAGTACAGTAGCTATTACATGACGTGCATTTGTACACGTATCCAGAAATGCATCTCAACTCCACTTGGATAAGGTATTAGAGATAAGGAGACAAGCTCACCAAGAGAAAAAGGTTCTTAAATCCGACCTTCAGATAGCCCACGGCTACTCCACGACCCCTAGATAGGTAAGGGAGAGAAGGAAGGGCGAGGACAAGACAGGGAGGAGGTCAAAACACAGGCAAAAATTATTGGAATCAGCCCCGCAGCCCCACAACCCTGTATAGGACAAGCAGTATAGAAGATAGAATTAATTAATATTTTATTTGTTCTGACAATAGTCTGGACGTTTCAAAGTGAAACCAAGCATTGTTACTGGATATTAAATACATCACTGCAAATTCATCCAGTACAGAATTTTGGGGATTACAAATGTCCCGTTAGCTAAACAAATAAAGATATCATTGAATTTCAGTGCAGATTTCAGCAGACATACAGTACATATGCATGTTAACTTAGATGACGGTGATGCTTATTTATACAGGCAACACTCAGAAAACTAAGGGCCTCCCAATTGCCCAGTATAAGGAGCATGGGTGTAATTAATAACACAGGAAATGACAGCCATTTTTCATCAGGGGGAGGCACCATAAGCTGGAAGCTATAGCACATAGACTTCTGAGAAAATATCTATAAATACAGACACACACAGACACATTTATGGGAAAAGTTCCTTTGAAGAGGTATCATATCATGGCAGAAGCACGCCAAGTATTTAATGAAGGCCCTGAGTCTTTATTTTAGGTTCGCTTGTGTGTATTTTAAGAATAAATACATATATTAGTAAGTCCTGACACAGGCAGCTTAAAAAAATGCATGAGAAAAGTGGGGGTAGTTGGAACACTTATTGTCATAGGGACAGTAAACGAAAACAATGTGACACAGGGAGCAGGCAGTGATGACGGTGGGCAGAATTCAGCTTCAGGGCTGAACAGTCAGTCAGGTGAACAGGATTAAGTTGCTGGTCATGGGTCCAGCCACAGATACCAATCAAGCTGGTCACATGACCTTGGTGGCACCTGCCACCCCCACCCACTTACCTATTGCCCTCCCCGTTTTTCAGCAGGTAAAGATAGTGCCGGTTCGACTGCAGTTTCTCAGCACTGGTGATGGGGGCAGCCAGGTCCTGGGCCTGGGATCACAAAAACCCATTCTGTTAAAAGGGCGGCATCCCGAGTTGCATTTCAGCACAAAAACCCGCAGGAAGTCGCCACATAACGCTTAAGTACTTGAAGCCAAAAAAAAAAAACACAACGCCTGAGTATCTACTGCTGCTGTGCTCTTCGCATCAAATGCAGCTGCTACAGGAAGTCACACTGGTCCCAGAAGTCTCCGTCAATCCAGAGTCAAAAGACCCATAATGCACCAGTGATCGATTCCAAAAACTCATTTTGTTCTTTGTGATAAAAAGAAAAGAATAAGCAGAAAATTCAGTTACTGAATATTGTTCAGTTTACCACCCAAATAGATCCAAGCCAGTTGAAAAAAAAAACGTAAACATTATATACGCTACAGAGTCGTAACATATAGACACATATATAACACATAGGCTACAGAGTACAAAGACGTAAACATATATAAACATAGAAACTACCTGAGCTGATGCTTTTCCTAGTTCATCTATAACTGTGGCTATTTGATGTTGATGGTCTGGTCTGAAAAAGATTGACAGGTCAATGTACAACATACTGTGCTCTTTCACATGACTCCAACTGCTCCAGTCAGCAAATTAAACTGCTTTTGTTTATTTGTTTTTGTTATTAGTTTAATGACAGTGCCGTTTATATACAGCATGGGGTAATCATAAATCACACTTACATTACACGATCATCACATCACGTCAGTATTTTCTTTCAGATGTATGAGTACTGTACTCGTCTATGACAGTATAACGCTGTCCTTCATATAATAATCTGGGTATAATGAAAATGATATCGTTTGGTTTCCTTTCTTTATTTGCAAAAGCTTCACAGCCATTAAATAAGGGCTAAGCGGTTACTGAGATGAGACGGGATGTATCGGCCTGTCCGACATGTAAACTGGGTGTATTGTTCCGGACAGGGCGGAGGTTTCACCAGAAAGGAGGCGTCATTTACATAGCGAAACTGCGATTTACCAAATACCACCATCACCAAATGAACACATCGAGGTAACAAAAGCTGACACAAAAAGCCGGGGGGATCTTTCATCTGAAGTTTATCCTGCTGGCCGCATCCATACGAACAGGACACATTAAAGTATGCAGAGACCACACCTCTCACCAAATGCATTGCACAATACAATGTACAGTATTATTACTACCAGAATGCGACCCGATTAATCCCTGCCACCGCTAAACACAGCTAACCGGCTATGCAATATAAACCAGAGCAACGTTACCTTCCTAGAAATTTTCGACCTGTCGTCAGATTTTGATCCAGCACCGTAATTCGGTCAGGGAAAAGGACATTTATATCAAACGGGAATTCCATAGTCCTAAAAAATCCGTGCACTTGTTTGAAAATTGCAACGTTAGTATCTGTAAAGGAAGCAAGCAAGCCTACTCCTCCAAGGAAATATGTTGGCGTTAACTACCAAGGACATAGATCGGGGTTAGCTATGCAAAGAAAGATGGTTTTAAAATTCTGCACGATGAACTCATTCTCCCATTGCTGTTAGTAATAATGCAATCAGTACATGAGACTGGACCGTGCTGCCGTAATACCGTATTAAAGTGTCCACAGCCTATCCATTGTGTCTGACTACAGCATGCCAGCCAGTGCAGGGACAGGCGCTCGCAAATCACTTAATGAAATGGGCCGTAATACAACTAAAGTAGGTTTTGTCACGCATTAAATCGCTCCATCATTAGCATGTTAACTGATGGTACGGACATCACCTATTTATGACAACGGACATGATATGGTTTACCACGGTATTTAAAGATATTGGAAGTATTTCTGTATTTCAAAATGAAGCAACATCGTATTTAATCATCGTATTACACGCAATCTACTTTTCGCTTTTACTTTATACATTACGGTGCCAGACCCTGACGTTGTTCTTGGTAACAGCACAACTTCCGCGTTTGTGTTTACGTAGCAACGATGCTGCTGGCTGGGAGGAATATCCGAAGAAAAAGCCATTGCGTGCAGGAATGAAATAATTCCCATGTGCAAAAAGTCGACATCCGATTCGAATTATCTTTTCTTTTTTTGTCTCAATGGACAATTGACGGTTAGCGTGTTGCCATGAAAAAATGCGTGTATAGATTTTTTTGAACAGTATTCCTTCCCTGAAAAAATGAATGTCTAAGCAAGTATAATTTTCGTATATTTTTTTTTTACAAAAGTCTAATTTCATCAATAAACTGACTAACAATATTCTTTTGAATAAGATTCTAAGAACATAAGAAATTTATAAACCAGAGGAGGCCATTCGGCCCATCAAGCTAGTTTGGGGAGAACTTTAATAGCTCAGAGTTGTTAAAATCTTATCTAGCTCTGATTTAAAGGAACTCAATGTTTTAGCTTGCACTACACTAACAGGGAGACTATGCCATGCTCTAACTACACGCTGTGTAAAGAAGTGCTTTCTCAGATGAATTTTAAAATGTTCTGCCGCTAATTTCCACTTATGGCCACGAGTTCTAATATTTAAACCAATATTGAAGTAGCAGAGGTGGCAATTTCAGGTCCAGAATGTAAAAATCCAGACCATGATTTACTTTCAACCAACCAGTTGAGCATAAAGAGTCACAGTCACAGAGTACTCATCTGGTTAGTTGAAACAAAATCTTGGTCTGGATTTGTACTTTCTGGACCTGAAATTTCCACCTCTGTGAAATAGCCATTTGGCTGAACAGCATCCAGACCTGTAAGAATCTTATATACCTGGCTCTATATTCTAAAATCTTATGAATAAAATGAATTTGGTTGGATTTAGGCATATTGTCTAATTTTAGGAAATCTTACCAAGTGCAATTTTCTTATTGCACTGGCAGATAAATTTAGCTAGTTTTAGGCCATCTTGTCTTCCCCTGTTTCAGTCCTCCGGTTTGGACCCCTTGTGGTTCCGTTGTTTCCAGCCCCAGTTCAGTTCTGCTTTGAGTTTGAATAAAACCCTTTTTTTCCTGCCTAAATTCCTGCTACCGTGCCTGTTGTCCTGCACAATATGACATTTACACAAACTACAAATACTATTTTGATGTTTTTGATGTTTTGGCCTTTAGTATTCCTATAAATATTATTTCCAACATCTTAATTGTTTTTAATGAGTCACTGACCACACAAAATTATACTAATTTGTTTTTGAAAGTCACAGCAAGCTATCTGGATTCCTTTTTCATTAAAAACAACCCAAAATAGCACTCATATATGCATGTACTGGAGATAGTTTCATGGAATCTGCAGCAAGCCTATCTGGCTATTTGGAATCTAGATAAATTATCTGCAGCATACCAATAGATAACTGCTGCATTAAGCTCTCTGTGGACTGAAGCACCAGCAGACCAAGAAAATAATGACATCAAAAACAATACATTTTCCTGGAAGGTTAAATTGGGTCTTAATGCTATAAAACAATGCATTTTATGGAACTGAGAAGAGCAAAGGAAGGCAAGCTGCAGCTAGCTTCAAAGGATGTTATGAAACCAAGGGTTTCCAAAGTCATGTCATGCCTGAATGAGTCTCATCAGTGTTATTAAACTGGTGCAGGGTGATAAGGTGAGAATTCCCCTCTTCTCTTCATTCCTGTCAGATGATTTCTTTGAATTGTGTGGGGGCAATGGTTGGAGGTATCAAAGTGATGTATACTGAGAAAACTATGCACTCTACATTTATACTTAAAGAAAAACACCTTTTGAATTGTGATTAATCCCAATATAAAGTCTCAGTATTGACATACTGTTTCCTTTAGTTTTTTTCCAGTTTTGTTCCTTGCTCCTTTTATTGATGGTTATTGATTTATTTATCTAAGCAGTCCTTGTTTTGTGATCAAGGGTGGAGTTGTCCATCTTGTATTTGTACCAGTGTTATTATAACTTATTTTTAAATTTAGTTTCCTATTTTCATCCAGTTCAGTTTTAATTGGTATTCTGTGTGGTTTTATGTGTTTATATTTTAAATATATATTTTTGTTTAGTTCTTATATATGTTTTAGCAATTGTATCTCTAAGCACTGAACGTTGCAGAACTATTTTATGTATCTGATTTCAAGAGAATCCTACACAAATTCTAATTCATCTCAGCATTTGGTAAAGCCTTAGGTCGTATCTAAGTCATAGTATAGAATATGTATATGTGACTTGCCACAGGGGGGAGCTACTACAGCCCAAAAATCAGCTGGCTTAGTAGCAATGTCGAAATTGTGGTCAGCAGTGTGGAAAATGCTATAATTACTGCTATTGCCTCACATACACTGCAACATTACTGGGCTGCTAATTCAATTAGCTAACTACTATGCAGGCTAACATTAGTCAGATCATTTAAACTCACAAATGTCAATCACATTTCCTTTCCCCACACCTTAGTTTCTTACAAATAGGGGTTTTTTTAAAGAATAAATCCCAGGTAAACAGAGACACAAAACCGCAGAAAAGACGCAGCCACCAACATGGCCAAACCATTACAAACAGGAAGCCGTAACATGGATTCCAGTTTAGTCAGTGTCAAATTCCCCTCATCCTTTTCATCCTCCTCCTCTTTTTCAGCCCATGCATTTCGTGGTTACCTCTTTCACTCACACTGTCTCTCTTTCTTATAAGCCCACCAAAGTCGCACCACAAAGTCACCTGCAGCCCCCACTTATTCCGAACTGCCATTATTTTTTTTGAGTGATAATTTGATTTTTAAATTGAGGGCATTTTTCTCCACAAGGTTTCTAGCATGTGACCCGAACCGGACTGTAGAGTTTCTTTCACTTCAACATTTTCACACATACAGTCTCACTTCCTTGCCATGTAGGGTGGGGTCTCTTCAAGCTTATATATGTCCTTCTCTAACTGGATTTGCATGAAACTCAGTCAAGGGAAAAATACCAGTATTGAGAAGGAGGGTCGCTATGCCTTAACACATGAGTATGACAACAACTAAAATGGCATTCTCCATGTTGCGCTACACACTCTTTTTCTGACTGTCCATTTTTGCATTTTTGAGGAACATTTTTCGAAGAGACGCATTTAATTATAATTACATATATTTACACATGTAATTTTCTATGCTGTAGAAACACAGTACTTCCCAGGTCGATTCGGGTCGAAGGCCATGCATATTGGGCATGCCTAGAAATTCAGATGATGCGCTTCACTTCTCATATTCAGTTCCATCTTCAACTGTGGAATCTATTTGCAACCATTTTAATAATGCTTCCAGTATTACAAAGTGAAATTTAGTATTGGAAGATGATTAGCATTTTTGTGCTTTCTTCTTCCACTTAACGTGCAGTGAAACAGCCACACACGAGGGAGGGGAGGTCTGCAGGGGCTTCCCCTTTTAAATCTGATGGGTGTGATCCCCCCTGCATCTGGGGAAGAGGCTAACCATTAAACCATTCGCCTACCTTCTGCACCTGAGCGGTGACGTATCTCTCAGCCGCCCCCACCTGCACCCGTGTGGGACGGCAGCCGGGACACCGGATGGGAAAAGTGAGTTTTCTCTTTAACCGCACAAATTCTGTGTTACACAATGGCAGAGTCCCGGATCAGCCATGGCAGCACCGCAGAAGCCACACTGGCCTGCCGCTGCAGGAATCCCTTAACCACTGCACTCACAGAGCAGAGATCTCGGCTTTGCCCCAGATTGTGGAACAGAGCAGAACGTAGGTAGGAAACCAAGAGTGAGAGAGAAAGAGAGAAGGAGACGGACAAACTGAGAGAAAGAAAAGAAAAGACGTGAACGGAACCGGAACTGAATGCGTATGACAGGGCGTACATAGCTGTGAATTCTAAGGCAGCCTAATTAAGGTGGCAGTCTGCTCCTATTCCCTGTATCTCGCATGTACTTTTGACAGAAAAGCAGCCATGTTGACCTGGTATTTCCCATCCCAGCACCAGTATCAGCTCATGCTTGCCACCTGTCACCTTTGCCCAAAGACACAAGATGTGGTTTTGTGTTGATGGTTAACAAAAATTCCAAGTGAACCCCGGATAGGAAGGGGTGTGGGAGGGGCATGGATGCCCCGGCAGATACAGGGGGCCCAGCACTTTACAGGGGCCCTTGAATATGCAAAATTATATGTAAAATTAAGTGCTGGGGTGGGTAGAGTTACCATATTACAAATCGCCCTGCATTACAAAACAAAATTCCCAATACAGGATATGACTTGTCCCATATTGTCACGTTGATTTTATCATGGGGAACCCCCCCTGGCAGGGGATGACATTTTGTCAGAGGGCCCAGAATTTTTAGGTATGCTCAAGGCAAGAGAAATCTTATATGTGAATCCAAGCAGCTGATGAGTTGATCTAGATGGAAATGACATAATAGTTTTGCGGCATTTTTCATTGGTTTTTTTTTTTGTGGGGAGCTGCAAGGTTTTTCCCAGGTGGGACATTCATTCATGAAGCACTCAATGGCACCTATTATGTTCATTGAAACTCGACTTTTAACTTCCCTTTCTTCCAGATCCAGCTCACACTGTAAACACAACGAGTATCGATTTGCCCGTCTTCATCATTCATGTGATTATGTCATGCTTGCTCCAGAACGACTGCCAAGTTCAGAAAGCTATTTTAGGTATCTTCTACAGGGACCTAAACTAGAGTGACCATATTTTGGTTTTCAAAAAACAGGCCACTGAGGGCATGACGTAAAGAGAGGTATCGAAAGTAAATCTGCACATGCAAAGTATTCCGACTGTAAACAGCAAATGTCAATGTGAAACAAAGAGAGAGCTTGGACATTTAACGCAATTTTGTGCACTAAAATTTCCTTTCCCAAATAGAGGAGAGGTATGGAGAAAAAGAGGACATATGGTCTCCCTAACTAAACTGCAGCCTAAATTTGTCAAAATGCATCATAGAGATCAGAAGAATGATGATTACATTGTTCTTTATCACACGTAGCTTCCTCTCCTTGTGTTCCCATGGCTGACTGAATTTTCTGTTTGAATGTTTCCTGTAGTCCTTTCTGCCTAACCACAGGAAGTATGACGGTGTTACTGTGACCACAGCCTTTTGTGAAAAAAGGTCCTTTGGGATTATAACCGGCACCAGGCCCCTCAGCCTTCCCACATTATAGTACAGTGAAATATTCAGTCCTGTCTGTCCAGGCCGCCATCAGGCCATAAGCTATCTAATATGAGAGCATTAATGTTTGGTAAATCAGAGACTCTCATTCAGAGAGACAGTTGAGGTATTAATTAGAAATGCCCCCAAATCTCTGAAAAAAAAACAACGTCAAGAGAGACTAGAGCAGCCTTGATTAGCTGAATTCGTCCATCTATATAGCCATCTGTCCATCCAACTTTATTTATTTTATCCATATGCTAGAAAATACAGTCTGACAGTGGAGACTAAGATGCCAGTACAAAGCAAGGCTGCTGAATTGATCATCAGATTCAAATCAAATTAAATCAGATGCATTTAAGTGACACGGCCAGTCACGACTAATCAATGAAAGAGCTGAACACAGACAAAAACCTGCAGTTGTTATGCGTCAATGAATCTGCAACATTTTTATTGAGTTAAGCAAACATCCCAAGACTTTCTGTGAAAACTGCATGTATAATGCCTGGCAGATGATACAGGAAGTGGGTAAGAATATGTGGGAAAGTTCAATTCCCAGCAGAGCAGCTGCTCTTATTGTTTTGAGAAGCTATTTAAAATGAATAATCATCAGTCAAATATCCAACAGCACAAATGTCTAAATGGTACATTGATCGACTTGAGTCAGATGAGCGTTTCTGCTGGGAACATCAGCATTAATAATCATGCAAATATGGAGAGAGTAGAAAAGGGGAGAGAGGGGAAAGGTTAGGGTTAGGGTTAGGGAAAGGTACGTTTTGGCTAGGCTGAGAAAGGGGAAAGGTACGTTTCGGCTGGGCTGAGAGAGGCGCCGAAATGCTCGACAGAAGTGCGAGCAAGAGAGCAAGGTGCTGAAACCAAAGCGGAGAATGTTTTTTTTTTCCTAGCATATTCTGTGGTTGACCTATATATGTTTAGAGGAAGGAAGCAATGGAGACAGAAAGTAAGATATCAGACATTTTACATGTTAATCTGCCTGACAGGCCCTGTATCACTAACTATGTGAACAAACTTTTCTTTGAAAGCAGCTGATTGCCCATCTGAAGGTTATGACAAAAGATCTGTCCGCTGCTGGCTGCACCACGTCCACTCACACTCCTCGTGCAAGCCATAAGGCAGCCATAAGCCAGCAGGCAATCAGGAAATCCCATGAAGACACCCAGGCCACAGGGGAAGCAGGCAGAGGAACGATAAACCACGGGAGGCAGTGAAACGCGCATCTTCTGTGATGAATGGCTTTTTTTTCCATGCTGAAGGGAAAGGAAAGCAGATGACAAGGCCGATTCCTAAGCCCCAAGTAGGGGTTGCAGCAGAGGCGTACACTCTGTGTGTGTGTGTGTGTCTGTGTGTGTGTGTGTGTGTGTGTGTCTGTGTGTGTGTCTACTAGAAAAAAATAGCGACACTTCTTTCTTGTCAAAATCAAACCACAGTCAATCCCCCCCCCCACCCCCGTCCCTCACTGCACCCTCCCCTACACACAGGAGCCGAAGTTACCATTTGTGTGGAGTGACATCACTGGAGTTTCCCTGAGACCAGCTCAGTGCATATATATCTGGAGGGGGACCCGAGAAACTCATGGGCCACACTCAGCCACCTCAGCTACGCAGCTCGATTAGCGACGCGAGTTTTACTATCCTACCATGGAGTCCAACTGCACTGTCGCCTTGGATATGGAGCCCGGGGCTCAGGAGACGCCGCAGGTGGTGCTGCTGCAGAAAAAGAGGGGCCACTGGAGGTTGGGGGGCCTGGCGGCCATCGTGGCCCTGTGCGTCGCCAGCGCTGTGCTCTTCACCATGCATGGGCAGGTAGGAATACGGTCGCACGCTTGACACTTGTCACACTTACCAGCATAGTAATGCAGTATATTAATACTAATGATATTTTATACTAAAAATAACACATTTTATGTATCATCCATCCTTCATTACTCCTTATCCTGTAGAGGATCCTGGTGATATTTCTTTAAATATTTATGATTGTATGTTGAAAAGTGTTTTCTTTTTTTATGATAATAATCTATACATCTTCCATTATACAGCACAAGGTTGATGTATTAACAATAATATTTTAGTTGTATTATTGTAAGGTGATTTGTCAGTGTTAATGTGTTATTGGCTAATGTATATCTGATCAGTGTTGGTAGTTTCACCGCGAAGCGAGTGTGAGATTGAGGGTTCGCCTCTCGGTGGTGATACACAGTGGCTTTTTCTGTCCCCGTCCTGCTCGCCGAGTGTCAGCCGGACTGACCTCTTTCGTTCTCCCCTCAGGTGTCGCACGAAGGAGAACAAGACGAAGGTGAGAAACCCTTCTCGTTGTTTCATAATCCCAGCTCGACGGCACACCGTCAGCCCCGAAGTGGATTTTGTGCAGATGCTGAATGACGTGAATATTAACGTTTATCTTGCCTTCTGTTTCAGATCTGCGACACACGCTGAGGCAAATTTCCCTAAAAGCCAAAGCTGCGATTCATTTAGAAGGTAAACAACACATTTACACTCTCAAGCATCCCCACAGTTGAGGGTTCAGTCAGAAAACACAGATGATTCCTTAGACTGTTACCATATGAATTTTTCATTAATCTGATGCTTTAATCCCAGGCACCTTATAGCACAGGGTTACAATTTACATTTGCCCTCTGGGATCTGAACCCACAACCTTTGCACTACTCACAATACTCTACTTGTTGAGCTGCAGGAACTTTAAGCTTGAGTCACTGCTGTTCAGGAACAGCTCAGGACAGGATCCACTGGCTTTCTGACCCTTTACACACCTTGTCCCCCCTCCAGGTGAATTCAACTCCAAGTTCTCCAACGATTCGGCAGAGTGGCATTCTGATGTAGGCCAGGCATTCACCCAGGGTGGGTTAAAGCTGGAAAACAACGAGATCACGGTCTCCCAGGGGGGACTGTACTTCGTCTACAGCCAGGCGTCCTTCAGGATCAACTGCCACAAGGCAAGCAGGGACAGTAGCGAGCAGTTCCTGCACCTGAGCCACATGGTGATGCGCTGGTCCGACTCGTATGGCGGCGTCTGGAAACCGCTGCTCAGCTCTGTGCGTTCGGCGTGCAAGAAGGTGGAGACGGGGCACGACACCGGCGAGCACTGGTTCAACAGCATCTACCTGGGTGCCGTATTCAGCCTCAACCGGGGCGACAAGCTGAACACGATGAGTAACGAGAAGCTGCTGGCGAACCTGGAGGGAGAGGATGGGAAGACCTTTTTTGGGGTCTTTGCGCTGTGAGGCATGTGGATGTGGGCGGCGATGAGGACACAGCACTGAAATAAGGGGACATACAGGTGTGCGTATGGAAAGGTATCAAAAACAAGGAAGGGACCAAGATATGCGGCCAAAGGTGAAAGGACAGAAGCTGAGGGAGATCAACAGAATCCCTCATGGTAGTTCCATACCTGCCAATGTTGTTTTATATTAAAACACGATTTCTTGCCATGATACTATACTCATGTATAAATGTAATATCATTGTAGTTTATGGTCATGCAGATTACATTTAGTACTATGACTGACTACTTCTGTGATGCACTAAAACCTCGTGTTCGTACTGTTCCATGATCACCATATTTGAATGTGAAATATTATGACTAAGCAAAAAAAAATTGCACGTCACCAGCAGTTGCAAAAGTCCCATAGAGCTAACATCATAAATTTATTTCAGCGTTTTTTTTTTATTGTTATTATTTTCAAACTTGTATTTTCAAACTTGTTCTAAGTGTTCTGTGCTATTGAATGTATATTTATTGATGACTGCATCTATTTATTTATTTATTTATTTATTTATTTATTTGATGTGTCACATGATAAAGTCTGATTAGGAATTTATTTTTATTTATATCTATTAAGTATTTGTTTGCTTTCTGTTATTTATATTTTGTTCTTTAGTTCTATAATGATTTCTTCTGTAACAGTCTAATATTTAATAAAGAAGTTCTCAGAAATCTTTTCCTTCGTTTTGTGTTTCTGTATTTTAGACATTCTGACTTATTTTTCTATCCAGTTATTCTAATATTTTTTTAAAAGCTCAAGCTCTAAAGTGTTCTGCGACTCCTTGGTCAGTAAAAATAAATATCAGTCAAACATAAATTGGCTTGCATCCTGTTCACAGCACACATATTTGTTGAATAAACAAAATGGGGAAATTACTTATCATATGACAAAAATAAATGTTTTATAGGCTTGTGGAGAGTTCTATATGAAAGGCAGCCGGAGTCCAAGGTCGTCTACATGCACATAAGCAGACACTCTGCACATTCAGTCAGTGCGTATGTGCAGTGATTCTCCAGGGAAACGGCTGCTTTCGTTCATGTAGAGATCCGCAAATCTGCACTGGGATGAAGCAGATTACAGCTTATGTACTCATGGGGTTTGTGCAGAGTGCTGAAGCTGAACAGCGAACTGGAAAGACCGAACCTTGTGTTTGTCCACCAGAAGGCCACCTCCCAGTAGCAGAGGTGGACGTTTCAGGTCCAGAAGGTAAAAATTCAGACCACGTTTTTGTTTCAACCCACTAGCAGAGTAGCAGAGTGTGACTGTGACTGTGACTCCTTATACTTAACTGGTGGGTTCTGGACCTGAAATGTCCACCTACCCAGTGGCAGTGTGAAGAGATGTTTGGTTTGGATGGTTGATCGAAACAAGTAACCAGAGGGTTTGGCAGGGAATCTGTATCTGGGAAACACGTCGTCATGCTCAGGGGGAACTGGTGTGACAGCACATGCTACAGAGAGGGAAAAACCAAACAGGTCAATCGGGGGCAGGAAAATCTTAGACAAATAAAGGTCCATGGAAGGAGACTGTGGGTGTGAAGGGGCGAAGACTTCTTCCAAATTAGGAAATGCTAAAGAAAAAGTCAAGGGCAACAAGAATGACACCCGGTGTCTAAGAAAGGCTGAAAATACTCCTCAGCCTCATGCAAATGAAATGAAACAAAGTGATTAGCATGACCATCATTTGGGAAAGTAATGGTGACATATGACAAGTGTGTAGGGGCAGGTTTGGTGAGGGCCGATTGCGCAGACGCTACTGCGGATTTTCAGTTGACTCTGAAATACAAATCACTTCCTCCATTTTATAACAGTCTTCATTTTTATATGCTTATAAGACCAAATACCCGCTTCTAAATGTGTTTATATATGGCCTTGACTAACTACTCAATAATCTTCACTAATTACATCTCTGAAGTGTTTTTTTCCACTTAGTAAGACAGAAGGGCATTAAACAACAGTAAATCCGTTATAGAAAACCAATGCACCTTTCAAAGAATTGTTTTTTTTCTTTTACAATTTCTACCCTGCAATGCTTTTTATTGTATAGGACAGAGCACATAGATTCGTAACTGAGTTCTATGTATCATTTGGGGTTTCATAAAAAAAAAGTCGAAAGGGGAGTTTTTTTTCAAACATTGTCTTGCATTGAGGCTGTACGGCAAACGTGGGTCTTCCCCTAATCCACCCCCAGCGGAGGCCAGTTATGCGGTTGTCACCTTGTGTGTGGGAGCCGATCTTTGGCCTTGACTAAATACCCGAATGTCTTCATGGATCACAGGGAAATTACACCTTATGGTTTGCTGTTAAAAAGAAATCAAGACGGTGGCTGGAAAGACAATTGAATACTTTTGTTGGATTTTTTTTTACACATGCTGAAATTATTGGACAGTAAAGTTACTTGGCGTGTTGTGCAGGGAAGAAAAGTAGAGTTCAAAACTAAGGAGTGCAAACAAAGAAGAAATTAATAATCACAGGTGCAGCAAGGTAATTGTGGGTAAGTGTGGGTCTTTGCTTCCAGTACTAACGTTTTATTCTATCTATTTGTTCGTTTGTTTATTTGTTTGTTTAACATATGTTTTCATTTTTTTATTAGGTATCCACAGGTTTGCTCCAAACAACATCTTGCATATGTACAGTGATAATAAAGATATCTGATCTTTATTAAATGTGCCATAGACTGTCGATTAGTGAGCCTTGGCGCCATCTAGTGTTACCACAAAGATAGGGATTAGCTGGTCAGGCCAGAGATGACAGAACAGCTGCCAGACAGCAGGGGGCAGAGTGACAAAGAAACTGCACTCGCCAACCAAAAGCTGTGAGGTACTGAAATATTCATGACACCAGGTGGACTGAACACACTCACTCATTAGCAACACATAATGAAAAACAGTCACTTTATTTAACTGTAATAACCATTCCTTTTATCGCATAACAGGTAACATCATAACAATAGCAATTTTAAATATAAATATAATTCCAATACCACCGAGTAGTACGATTTTAAATGTGCAAAAGAACACACTGATGACATTAAATGATTCGGATATCCTGGTCCATTTTCGCTATACTTATGCATATCGGCACCGTGACACACATCATCGCTAACATTATTGTTCTAATGCACAGGAACGCAGAGGGTTTGACTGATTTAAAAAAAAAAAAACAGAAAAAGACAAAAATTAGACATATTATGAGGGGTGGGACTGTTATTAAAGACTTTCAGGGTAGGAACTGTTGCTGATAGAAAACACTAATGGGACTGGACTGGGAAAATGTTTCCTAGTCCGGTCCTCAGGGCCCCACAGACAGTCCATGTTTTTGCTCCCTCCCAACTGGCTGTCTGGCAGGGAGCTGGGAGGGAGCAAAAACATGGTCCGGCTGTGGGTCCCTGAGGACCGGATTGAGAAACACTGCTCTAGGAAAAATATAACAGAAAACAACTTTAAACAGACCCCAGGGCCCCTGCTTTGTGCTTAGGTGTCAAACAACGTTAAACAGCCTGTCGAGGAGGTAGGCTAACATACACAGCATTCAGCCGGCCTCTGACACTGTGAAACTCGCTACATAACGCTTCCTTTAACTATTTATAGGTACAGAAAATCAGTCCCGATAATAAGCTGCAGTCACACAGCTTGTGTGGACTGAGCCCAACTGATGTGATACAGAAAACAAAATCATACAGCAGCATCAGATATTAGTCCAGTTTAATGAGGAAAGTCATTTTATTTCCTCTTACATATTAATTGCTTTTGTCACGCGAGAACCTTTATCACGGGGACAGAATAGGCTGTTTACGTACATCGTATGCTATGAGATGCCAAAAATTGGCCCACTTTGGTAGTGACACAGTACAGACCCAACAGAACCAGCCGCACGATACATGAAAAGATATGGATTCAAGCTTTTGGACACTGGACTGGTACCAGAAAACTCATTAATGTTATATAACAGCAAGTCTAAACTGATAAACAGCTAAACACTGGTCCATTGGCCTGCTATAGTCTAATACAGTGTTTTCCAATCCAGTCCTCAAGGACCAGCAGCCAGTCCACCTTTTTGCTCCATAACAAGAGCTGGGAGGGAGCAAAAATGTGGACTGTCTGTGGGTCCCCAAGAAACAGATTGGAAAATACTGGTCTAATACATGGACACAATCCTAGTAATGTTATTACATGAAGTCCCATGCTTTTGGTCATCCCGAATTGGTTCTGTGGGATGGGGGGGGGTTTCTACCTGAACACCCTCTGCTTACAGGTCTATGTGCAAGCAGGGTCACCATGCCTATTCTTGTCAGGGAGGAAGGGCGAGAGGCCATTAGCTACAAGGAGAGGAGGTCTTTGCTTACATTCCACCCAAATGCAGCCCCACATCCACCCAGCAGACGGACTCCCACAAACAGCAGGGACACTGCAGACTCCTGTGGCCGCCTCCACTCTGCCGATTCACACCTAAGAGCAGTGTGTCTCCAAACATTCCAAAAACGGTGTTTTCGAACATAAATGTTACCTTCGGTCCCAAATGAGCCTTCACAGATAATCTCAAGAGAGCAACTTCAGACTGTAAGCACCGGCCTCTGACAGCCAGACCTTTCATTAAGGCGATTATCCAAAACACACACCCCCCCCCCCTGTTAAAGAAGAGCTTGAAAAACAGCAGCTACCTAAAAGAGGCACCTCATTCCACAACATGAGGTTGGGAATGAGCAAATCTGCTCCTTGGGGGTGGGGGGGGGGGGGCAGTAGACTGAGCCTTCAGCAGTATAATAGTGAATAACGCCCCTGCTGAGCGAGGAGTATCTCATTGTAAAGTGACTTTAAAAGATGCAGGGCTACAGGACTGGGAGCGGCTGGGCCAACAGCAGCATTTCACCTCACCTCTGTCGCCTCAGGGAAGGATTCTTGGGAGATTCTCAGCGACCCGCCCTGTACGGTGACGATTCCCATTAACCGCGTCACACACACACACATACATACACACACACACACACACACACCTACTGATTCCAGGAAACATATATCTCATGCACCAGCAGCAAATATGTTTAAAAACGATGGCATGGATTACTGTAGACAGGAGGCCAACCCTTATGCTTTCACTCAAGTGGACAGAAAGTGAATGAGAAGGAGAAAGAGGGTGAGAAAGAGAGAGAGAGAGAGAGAGAGAGAGGGAGAGAGAGTGTTGGGGTTAATCGTTAATTCCCATTAAAATCTCACCTGCTGACACAAACCATCCAGCTGCTCATTATAAGCTATTGCTCATGCTTTGGCTTGTAACAAAGACGCTCCTTCTTTTCCCTCCCTCCTTCCCTCCTTCCTCTTCCCTCCATTACTTATAGAGTAGCTGCAGGCGGCTAGTGTGACAGTTGTTACGGCCTATCTTGCCATCGGGCTGGTAGAGATTGGAGGAGTTGGAGAAGGAGGCAGAGATGGGGTGGTTACCAGAAGGTAGGGGGTAGCCGGGCGGGGGCAACATGGATTTGGGGTCATTCTGGGCGGAAGGAGGCAGGGAAGAGCTGTGGTTCTGGTTCTGGGTGGAGGAACGTCTTCTAGAGCGGAGAGCCTGCCGTTCGGTCAACTGGTTCCTCAGCTCCGACACCCTTTCTTCTTTCTGCGAGCATGACGAAGGTGGAACCTTCACATCATTCACTGTAGCATAAGCATCTTCTACAAGATTCAAGGTCCGAGATGGCTTGCTGGCCATGTGCAACAAGCGCATCAAAATTCTCAACCATTCACACCTAGTGCAAACCACAGCTACACACACACAGCTAATAGAGAAATAACAAATGATAAAGACTAAGTAGATGTGCAACTCTCCACATTGCCACTGTGGGGGGGCCTTCTACGTGAAAAGGCGGAACAGGTTCCAAACAATGTTATTCATTGACTGACTAATGAAAGATTGAAAAGTGTCTTTGATGGATTACATTTCCCATAAATCAGCGACATGAAAAGTGTCAGTCACCCTTCAATTAGAGCTGCTGAATACGGAGTGATTCACAACAGGGAAAGCGGAGGAGGAAGATGGAGAACAAGGGAAGAGTGAAGGATGGAGGTCAGAAGGAAAAGTCAAGAGGAGATCCAGGGAGAGCTGGGATACCTCCTGAATGATCTTCTGCAGCTCCTTGTTCTCCCTCTCCAGTTGCCGTGACTTCTCCTCGTCATTGTTGTTGGTAGAGGAGCCTGTCTTCATGGTCTCCTGCTGCTCCGACTGCCACTCCCCACGAGTGATCAATCGCCGCATCTACGGTACCATAGATATGTGATGCAGGGGTGCATTTAAAGGGGTCCTATTGTGCTTTTACAGTTTTTCCATTTATTTTAGTGTATTATACAGCTTTATGTGCATGTAAACGGTCTGCATCTCTGTATCTCCAAGTCCTCCAAAAGTCTTAAGGCCCAAAGTATACGCCAAAGGGAGTTAGAGTTCCACCCCTTACTTCCGTGAGGTCACCTTGTAACACAATCCTTATTGGCTACCCACCAGAAAGGATCTGTCTGTAGACTGCAAGACAGAGGCAAAATGTGTAGGACAAACTGACCAATTGAGCAAGCTGACCAATCAGAGCACACTTGGCTCATCAGGAATGTGGCTTAAAGGTCTAACAGAGCGTTTCAGACAGTGTGAATAGAGATGTACAGAATGAGAAAAAAAATGTGTTTTTGAAACAGCGAAGCATGTAAATCTATTCCAGTAGATCCCCCCAAAAAATTAAGAACAGTGAAAATGAGCATAAAAGGTCCCCTTTAAAGTACCACAGATGTTCTAATCCACAGACGCATTAATATACGCAAACCCACGGATGAATTCACCGGAGGCGCGAAATCCAAGTTACGCATCTGTAGGATCTAAGAGGACATATTCCACAGAAAGCAACTGTTTTCATACAGTAAGCACTGTGTGACTGTATCGGTAATCATATTCCAACCTAGACCAGCCTGATTCACTTAGATTTACCTGTCACCAAAACCAGCATCAATTCAGCATGCAGCACCTGTGTATTTGTGCTAACACTGGGAACCAGGAAACACAGGGTAACAGGTAGTGTTGCATTCATGACTATGATCTCCATAAGGTTACATCTTCAAATCCTGGAGAAGGAAAAGACGGCTATACCCTGAACAAGGCATTGCAGATGGAATCTTTCCCAGGCAACCATCTGCACTGCAAAGCTGCTGTTGGACCCAAGCATGCAAACATATAAAGAAATCATGCTGGGTCACTTAGAAGATTATAAAGACGCGACTTCATGCAGCGTACCTTGGGGATGAAGAGCACGACCAGAGTGATGTAGACAGAGAAGACGATGGCCAGAGATGCAAAGGCAAAGGACGCGTCCTGTTGGGAGGACAGGATCATGGTGACGGGGGCTGTGATCATGCACAGCACCTGCAGGGACACGGTGGGGGGGGAGAGGGGGGCACCAGACCGGGATGTTTAGTCAGAATTTCTCACCCATAATCTTCAAGAGCTGCATCATTACCTTCAAAAACATCATTTCAGCCCAGCACATATCAGATACATCATTATCTTTAAAAGCTTCTTGTTAGGAGAACATCAGGGATGCCGGCAGGAAGTGCCAGTGCCTAATTAGATCCTCCATCTTGGTGGCTTGCTGCTGATTATGAATAATTCATTTGACTGAATTCCCCCTTTTTTCCACCACATCGGAATTTGCGAAGCTCCACTGAACCGTGATATAGCCTCACGCGACACATCAGCACACAATGACCCAAAGAGAAGCCCCGCTCGACCTTCAGTCCCTTTACGAAATGTGTCAATTTGGCTTGTTTACCGTTTCACATTTAGCGTTTCACTAAACAGATTAACAGCCACTTGTTGGGGTGGTTTTGATCTCCAGATTTTGATTCTTACGCAAGCCGGTGTCTGCTAATAGCTATCGCCGTCAAATCAATGTGCCGTATTTCAAAGTCAGAGGGCTTCCAACAGAGAAATCGTTTTCCAATTTCTACACCAAACTCAAGGGACTCACAGGCCTTCCTTTGTTGGAAAAGGACACTTCAAAAGATACATTTCTCCTCTTCAAAAACTTCAGCCAATCATACTACTAACCAAGGAAGGGTCAGAAGCCGTAAGGGGAGGGGAACAGAACTCAGGCAGGAAATCACAAGACAGAATTCCTGAAGATCCATTCATGTAAGACGGTTCCAGTTTTGCTAAAGTCTACTTGCTGGCGGAGCTGGGGGGGGGGGGCAGAATTGAAATCCACCAGTTATTACCGCCGACGTGGAAAAAGGCTTCTCTGCTTCACATCTTTTTAAAGTATGTTTTTCTAAGGCTTCTTTTAAGTGGGACGACCATTTCAAGGCGTTCCAGCTCTCATCATCTCCTACTCCGCATTAAAACTGATATTGGCAGGGCGATTCAAAAAAAAAAAAAACCCATTAGTGACTCTTATAGGGATGTGGCCTGAAATCAGAAGTTCTGCAAGAGCAGACGAGAGTGGAAATCGGTGCGGGTGACGCAGGGGAGAGGCAGGCAGGGCCTGAGATACAGGGGACTTACCGACACGTTATAGATCGCCATTCCCACGGCCCGATGGTCATTGATTTTCTCCGTGGAAATGGACTTTGTCTCATAGGCCAGAAATATCCCCAGTAACAGCAGGAGTCCCTTGTAGCCGTACACCACCCCTAAAGGGCAGAGTGCAGCCGGGGCAGACAGGAAAGGCAGGTAAATAGACTGGTATAGACAGACAGGGAAGATGACAGACAGCAAGAAGGCAGACTGAAAGACATGACTGCAGATGGACAGGCAGGCACACAAAGCACTGAACATGCAGACACATACTGTACTCAGAAGCTGAGACTGACAGATTTAGAAACAGACAGACAGACTGGTAAAGTGAGATATTCAAAGACACCAGGACAGACAGACCGACTTCTATAGAGACAACAGACAGAATGAAACACAAACAGACTCAGAAGGACAGATGCAGATGTGGACAGACAGACAGATAGACAGGCAGATGCAGGGAGGCAGACAGACAAACAGACAGACAAGCAGATGCAGACGGACAGACAGATGCAGGCAGGCAGACAAACAGATGAAGGCTGGCAGACAGACAGATGGCTGCCAGTATGCAGACAGATGCAGGCAGGCAGACAGACAGACAGATGCAGGCAGGCAGATAGACAGATGGCTGCCAGTAGGCAGACAGATGCAGGCAGGCAGACAGACAGATGCAGGCAGGCAGGCAGGCAGGCAGACAGACAGATGCAGGCAGGCAGACAGACAGGTGGACCTGACATTACCCAGCCACGTGTTCATCTTCTCCGAGCTGCAGTGCTCCAGAAGGGGCTGAATGAGCACATCCAGGTCCTCCTTGGGAGCTTCTTTGGTGAACTTCTACTCAGACAGAGAGCGGAAAACAGCACAGTGAAATTCACAGCACCGGCGGGAGTCGCGAAAATAGCTCGTCCCAGCTCCTCACTGACAGCAGCCTCTGCTCTTATACCCTTTCATATTCCAGTTATTCAGCACTGTAGCAGCTGGAGGAGCTCCAGGTGTGATCAAAGATCACAGTCATTTGTTAGAGTAGGATAATACACAATAAACCGGACTGGACACAAAAACACCCCGAGTATCCGTCTGTGCACTGAGAAAAGAAAAGACTTGTGGGCACCTCTACAGTGATGTGCAAGGGGTCCACAATCTGCCATATCATGAGGGACACGATGTCGATGAGTAGGAGCACCCCCACTGTGGCATACAGCTTCCAAGGTTCCAGGTGCTGCTGGGATACAGGAAGGACCAAGCGTCATATCAGTGGACAGGTACATAGCTTTGGTTTTGAGTATGTCTGTTAGTGAGTATAGTAGGGAGTCTCTAGAAGTAAAAGGTAGTATTTAGTAAATATTCTAAATAGAATCAAATGATTAGAGTCCAAGGAACAATCACAAGCTGGTGCAATAAGTGATTTCCTTAGGTCTAAGTTAAAAAGTCTATTAAAAAAAATCCTATATTGCTAAGCTGCATTTATGGGAAAGTGGAAACCTGACAATTATAACCTGGTTGGGAGGTCACCTCTGCGTGCTCAGTAGAAGTGGCACTGGATGAGCAGTAGAGGGCGCTCTAGCAAATCTTTTAGACATCAAAGTACTAATGCTGTGCAGTGGACAAAAAAACTGAAGCTGGGACTCAAGGCAGCCTCTGAGGATTCAGCCAGGAAGCGGCAAGTAAGTCGGCAACTCGGTGTTTTAGTCGCAAAAGGCTTCTGATATCCATCCGGGGGGCAGGAGCGGCTCTTTTCTCAAGGGTCCTGCAATTGCACTTATTTTTACAAGCTGGCATCCATCACTTCATCTTTCAACCACATATCCTGAAGAGGACAGCAAGAAGACCGGTGCCTATCTAATGACACATGGGGCACCAGGCGAGGGACCAGAGTATCGGTGTTAGAGACTAACATTCTTAAGCCGAGTCCAGTGAAATGTCCATGGTACACAAAACATCAAACTTTGTTTTTTCTATGAAACTGTAAGCATGTGTGCAGCAAGTGTGGAGCCATTATCCTGGAGTTAATATTTGCATCGTTATCAAAGGCAGGACAGCCATCACCACTGAAGGGCACCAGCACCAAACAGGCAGCCTGGCCCTCTGCAGCAAAAGGGCGTGGATGGTACCCCCCCCCCCCCCCCGGGCGCCCCCACTGCTGCAGTTACCTTCCTCTTGTCCTTCTTCTCGTCCTTCTTGGTGAAGACCGTGTGAACCCACCAGATCTTAGTGAACATGCTGCCGTAGGCCAAGCTGAATCCCAGTCCCAGCAGCCACAAGCGAAACTGTGGAGGGAGAGGGGCTGGGATGAGTGCCAAACCCCAAACACCCCCTCCAGCTCCTTCTCCGCTCTTCCACTCCAGCCTGCTTTCTATCTTTTTTTCCCCTTTCCACACTTTTGGTTTAGGGCCAGTTGTAGTTTTTTTTGGTTTTAATCCGTCCATACAGTCAAGGACACCGTTATACGTTGCTGTCCTTCCACCATAGAGGATAATGGGACTTTTCAGACGTTACAGAAACATTGACGCATCTACGCAAACCCACGTTCTGCACCCAGACACAGCTCCATCACTGGTGACCCCGAAAGGGAAAGAAAATAAATACTAAACGAATCTTCTTTTCCCAAATGTTATTTTAAGGCTATAATTTAGTTTAGCCTTTTTTTCCATTTCTCAGAGTTAAGTGCTTTTTTAAAGTGATTTCGTTCTACTTTCTATTTTTAGCGATGATGACCCCCCTCTGTAATGACAGTATAAACATTTGCCTGCAGTGATTCCTTCGCTTTTAACTCCAAACCGGACTTTCCTGCAGTCTTTGCTGCCATTTCACTCTTTGACATATATAAGTGAAGCAAACAGTATGTCACAAACACACAAGGAGCCAACCAGGCATAAGTTCAGGTTGGCTAAGCTTCCAATGAGTGACCAGTAACAAGTGTAAGTGTGTAAGTCCTGCAGACTTAATGCATAATTAACTAATAATTATTTCAGCTTGATTTAATAAAATATATTGTTAAACCAAACCGGACCTAGTTAAAGTGGAGATAACAGCAGAATGCAGACTCTGATATTCCCCAGTGAAACATTACACTTCCTACACTAAAGGGCTAAGACAAGCTGGGCTCAGCTGGGGAGTGACATCACAGCGGCAGGCCCCGCCCCCTCCATACCTGGCAGACGACGGGGAACTGAGCCCGGTGCACGTGGAGCCCGTCGATGCCCAGGGGAAAAATGGCTGCCAGGGCCAGCATGCAGCCCACGGCCGTCATGTTGTTCAGGTAGGGCTGGGAGTTCTGGATGTACCTGCCACACGAGCATCTCCAGTGAGCTACGAGCCACAAGGCCACATGTCTCACGGACGTAACTGCCTGCCACGGCCACACAAAGGGCCACACACACTCCGCAGGAAACAGGCCAGTACTGCCCAGGGGTGCAAGAACGTGGTTATGTGAGCTATACAAACTGAGTCTGATACTAATACTTTGCACACTAATAAAGCACGTTTTATTGACATTTCTGAAAGATAATTCCTATATTTTTCATGCAATTAGAGACAAAATTGACAATCAGCTGCATTTAGACACACAGTGGCACACACACATGCACGCGCACACACACATGCACGCGCACACACACATGCACGCACGCTTGCCTTTGGCTGGAGATGCATCACAGGTGGCTGCCACACAGACGCGAGGGCAGACTCCCCGGATGACGCGCCTCACCACGACAACCGCCGCACGGAATGCAGGTGACTGCGAGGGTGGCGGACACCCACCTGACATTGCTGTTGTAGATGTTGAACGTGAGGCACACGATGCCCAGCAGGATACCGAGGCCGGCGAAAACTGACACGGACACGAAAAGCTTCTGGGACAGGAAGCGGAACTCCTCGATGACCACGGTCTGGTCTGCGGGGGGGCCCAGGCCTGTGGAGGGACAGGGGGAAGGCGGGTGACAGGAAGCACTACAGTGAGAAGAACTGAAAACGGGAGGCGGAATGTCAGGGACAGGAAGAAAGAGAGAGAGCGATGGACTGAAACTGTGAGACAGAAAGAGAGGGAGAGAGAAATCAAGAGTGCGATGGACTGAGACTGCGTGACAGAGAGAGAGATGGAGACTGACAGTGGGAGACAGAAGAACAGAAACAGAAAGCAAGAGAGCGATGGACTGAGAGTGTGAGACAGAAAGAAAGAGAGACAGAAATCAAGAGTGCGATGGACTGAGACTGTGTGACAGAGAGAGAGAGAGATGGAGACAGAGTGGGAGACAGGAAAACAGAAACAAGAAAGCAAGAGAGCGATGGACTGAGAGTGAGACAAAAAAGAGAAGGAGAGACAGAAAGAGAGAGAGGTAGACAGTGGGAGACAGAAAAATGGAGACAGACAGAAAGTGAGAGTGATGGACTGAGACTGCGAGACAGAAAGAGGGAGAAAAAGACTGCAAATGTGAGACAGAGAGAGAAAAAAGATAGAAAGGTAGATGCAGAGAGAGACAGAAGAAGAGCTATCTCTCTGTTTATGTTCAATCATAACTAATATCTTTTTCCTAATATGAACACTCCTCTATTGTTTAAATAATTAATCTAAATTGTTTCTTTTCTGTTCATGCCAATATAGCACCTTCATAGCTGAGAGAAAAAGACACTTTTCCACTCTAATAAATATAGTAAATCTATTTTAGGAAAATGACAAGCTGTAATATCCATCTGAGAAACAATAAACAAAATTGGCAACCGTTCTTCGAGACAAGGGGGGGGGGAGTATGGCCAAACTTGGCAACCAAATGCGTCGCGACCCACGGATGACCGCTGAGAAGAGGAGCTCCACGCGCGCTAACGATGCTAACGCTTTCCGTTCCGGCTCTCATGACTGTTCCTGCTTGACGGGGCGGTTTAAATATAGCTGTTATCATGTGCCTGCGTTGCAGCCGGATTGCGTCGACCGGAGACGACACGCGTCGAGACGGCAGCCCAGCAGGACATGGCGCGCGGTGCAGGAGGAAGGCAAACGGTGCGAGCGCCAGCGTTACCTCCGTATTCGGCATCCGCGTCTGCCGGGCCCCGGCCGCACTGTTGTCGTTTTTCATGTGACTGGGGGAGGGAATTTCATTCTCGATCTACCGCAGCCTTGTCCCGGGCTGATGACCCATGCGGACTCCGTGACCATGAAAGGCGTCAAGAAGGCCGCTAATGACAGGCTAACAGGATAATAATGAGGCTCCAGTCATTGCCCAGGACGCTGGGCAAATTCAGGGAGAAACTGTGATTGGTGCCGTTGTGGGGGAGTGAAGGGGAGATGGGGGGGGGGGGGTGAGGGACGATACTCCCAGCCTGCGATGACAGCAAACTACCAGAAATTTCACAGGGAGTCTGGTAACCCTATCGATAGATCCCTCTCGCACAGTGGGGTGGGGGGGCAGTCCCCCTTGGGCTTTTTGCCAGGCATGAAACCCATTATTTTACATGGTTGCATGCCTGCACACCATGACCCACAAAATGTACAAATTTCATGGATATGGTCATAGATATTACTCAGAAATACAATAATATAATTACCCTCTTTACACAAGATAATGTATTAGCCTTTTCACCTACATCCATCTTCCATACCCCTTATTCAATCCAGTTCATTTTTATATAGCGCCTTTCACAGAAGAGTTGCCCCAAAGTGTGTTGTGATGCATTCCTGCATCATTTATTCAGAATATTTACCCAGTGTAGGGTCATCTTGGGCCTGGAGTCTATCCCAGGCAGCATACGGTGCAAGGCAGGGGACACCCTGGACAGAATGACAGTCCTTTAAAACAGAGATTACTATTATTGGCTTCTCAGGAGTATAAATGTACACGTGCATAAAAGGAGTCACTACAGGCAAGCTGCCTGCAGGAAGCCACTTCAGAAAGGAAGTCACCAAGTATACATTATAATAAAAAGCTGCCATACTGTAATCAGGGCACTTCCTGCTTGCGTGTGCGCTTGTTTTCCTGTTTATGTGTGTCCATGCGGCCACGTGCAGGGCCTCCTGTCAGCCAGCCAGCGCTGTTTAACAATCTCACCCTGCCCTTGATGAAACAATCAGGACAGAGCGTTACCAAGGAGACCGAGCTCCACGGTTGCCACGGTGATACAAGGAGGAGAGCAGCGCCGCGGTGGTTGTCAGGGGCGACCGGAAAGAGACCGAGAGAGCAGGGGAGAGGGGACGGCGCGAATGAAAGTGAAAGAGACAAGATTGGATGAGGAGGGAGAGCTTTTTTGCTTTGGGAAGCTGGTTCCCCACCATTTGGCCTCTTTATGCTTGGCTTTGACCTGAATTTTTTTTTAGAATGGAAAGCAAAGGAGGCCGGTGGGCTGGGGGGGGGGGTGTCCTGCAATGACTTTGCTTCAAAGTAGAGGGAGGAATCCAGTCCTGGGAGATGAGCTGTGCGAGCGCCCAGCCAAATGGAACACCATGGTCACATGACCTCCCCCTCCCAAATTTAGGCCGAGCCACTCCCCCTTCGGGAGGGCCACGGAGGGAGACGCTTTTTTAGGACCTCCGCGGGCTCCGTGAGGCGTGCCTGTCTCTGGGAAGAGCGCAATAAATGGCAGCAGGTTCTGGTGAAAAAAACAGGCAGTGAACGGGTCAGCCCCGAATCCCTCTCAGCCCCGTCAGTAAGTAGGGCTGTGGGTGCGCAGCATGCTCAGGATGCTGACTCCACACAGCACACCTGTACAAGCCCACGCTCAGCTTCCACAGCAGAACCGAAGTGAGGCGTCAGGGCGGGGGCGAGATGCTGAGTGTAGCCTCTATTATCAACACCCCTGCCCTCCGAAACAGGTCAACGTCCGGGCAGGCCGGAGAGAGTTTCAGAAACCAGCCCAAAATCCTACAAAAATGGGACGAGCAGCCCTATGCAATTATACGCAAGACAGAAGAAGTCGGGCCCGTGGTGAAAAATGTATAACGGCGACGTGGCAGTCGACAGGAATTCTGTCTTGTACTTATTCGGATGGCAGCGTCAAGCTCTGAAAACCTTCAAGGCCTCACATTCACACAGTCAACAGAATGGGACACGGGAATGAGACCCGAGACACTGAGAGTATCGGACATGGAGCAGCTGCCCAGGGGATGGAGAGGAAGAAGAGGCAGTGGCGAAATGAAGCACGGGGTAGAGGCGTGCGATAGGGGCAGTCTGCTTAATGACTTCCTGGGCATGGAGCACGGGGTAGAGGCGTGCGATAGGGGCAGTCTGCTTAATGACTTCCTGGGCATTTTCTTGACTGACTACTTGTACCACAATGAGGCTGCTCTTTAAATTTGCTCATAATAGTGTCTTCAAAAGGCAGCCCCCCCCCCCCCCAAGAAATGCCACTCTGGGGCTTAGGGGCGCAATTTCTGGATGGTCATGCTGCATTGTCTGTACTCAGTGTTCAGATGGGGAATAATGACGGCCATCCATCCATCCATCTATCTATCTGTAATAAATCTATCTATCTGTCTAAGGGTATAGGAGATTTTGATATGGGCTCCCCCTTTGAGTCTGGTCCCTCCCAAGGTTTCTTCCTTCTCGGGTGTTTTTCCTTGCCACTGTCGCCTATGGCTTACTCACTGGGGGCTTTGGGTGGGGATGCTGTAAAGCGCTTTGAGACGATGTAATGTTGTGATGCGCTATACAAAAATAAATTTGTTTGTTGTTGTTGTTTGATATTAGGGGGACACAATTTAAATTTAATGCAAAGCTTTTTTTTTTTGGCGGGGGACGAATGTAAGTTACATTACAATGAGTTATTTGGTATTTAAAGTTCAGCAAAAAATATCCACAACCCCCCGATTTTGTTATTATTATTAATAATGCATAAGTGTCTTTTTCCCTTATTTTCTACTTCATTCATCATCTGCTCACATTGTTTGCAGCTCGTATCACTGTTACAGACAAGAGGGCAAACAAAAGTGACTGTTACCTTGATTAACCTGAACAGCAAACCTCATTTCTGTGAGAAAGATGGATAGACGAATGAACGGATGTCGATACTAAGAGGGGAGGACAAGTACTAATGAGGGAAGCGGGAGCAGATCAGAGATCGGTCAGGCTCACCTATCCACCTGTCATTGCCGTACCAGGAGAGATTTCCTTTGGTGCTGTCGTAATACCCAATCTTCTTGTAGCTCCCACCTACACAAGGGGAGAGAGAGAGAACGAGAGAGGGAGAGAGAGGGGGGGAGAGGGAGAGCAAGAGAAAGAGAAAGGGGAGAGAGAGAGAGTGAGAGAGAGAGAGAGAGAGAGAGAGAGAAGGGAAGGGCAGAGGGGGACAGAGAGAGAGAGGGAGAGAAGGGAAGGGAAGAGGGAGACAGAGATAGAGAGGGAGAGACAGACAGAGGGGAAGAGGGGGACAGAGATAGAAAGGGAGAGAGACAGATGGAGAGAGGGGGGCAGAGAGAGAGAGGGAGAGAGAGAGAGAGAGAGGGTGGTGTTAAAATACCCACCAAAAACCACATGAAAACCTACCATTCCGGTTCAATAGAGCATGAAAAAAACATGTCAGCACAATGACAATTAAATCATAAGAGAAATTATTCACATAATAACGAAGAGTGAACTTCACAGCCTCCACAATTTGCTGTCCAAAACTGACTGCAAACCAGCCAGGGTTGTGATGCTATTTGCCAAACCCTCCAGGGCACCAACTCTGAAACTCACCGTGCAGGAAGTCAGAATCCACCTAACAAGTCTTGGGCTTCCAGTGGGCGTCTGCCCTGCTCCTGTGCGAAAACCCTCGTTCCCAGTAAACACTAAGCAGCTGTGAAAGTCACCGGAGCCACCGTAGGGAGCTCAGTCCCTCTGGCAGCCACCACTGCGGTTAAAATCCACACCACTGCAATCATAGTGTGCAGTGACACCTGTTCTTCCCCTGCGATCCTGGGACTGAGGCATTAAAAGACAAACCAACTTGCCTCTGTATCAAGGGTGTCATAGTAAAGCCCTGGTAGGCCTTTTGTATTCATTCTGGATGATTTGCCTATTTAATTGGTCCCATTGGCCAAATCCCTGTACTGTTTAAATATATGCAGTTCACCCAGTGCACCACAGTAAATCACGGTAATTCCTCAGAACAGGACGTAGAAACCTTCAGCACTCCTCATTATTATAGGAAAAATAAAACTTTCAAGATGCCTGGCTTGAAGATTAATTAGGGGAGGAAATGGGGTAGTAATGGTACACAGCCAGAGCCCCCTGGGGTGTGGCCCCCCTGCTGTCTAGGTGCGAGCCAAAGGCTTCGGTTTATACAGCAAGACGGCACTGAAGAGGTGAAGGGAGAGCAGGAAACGGAGAGGGAGAAAAGCTGAAAGAGGGAGAAGAGGTGAAAGAGGGAGAAGAGGTGAAAGAGGGAGAAGAGCTGAAAGGGGGAGAAGAGCTGAAAGAGGGAGAAGAGCTGAAAGGGGNGAAAGGGGGAGAAGAGCTGAAAGAGGGAGAAGAGCTGAAAGGGGGAGAAGAGCTGACAGAGGGAGAAGAGGTGAAAGAGGGAGAAGAGGTGAAAGGGGAGAAGAGCTGAAAGAAGGAGAAGAGCTGAAAGGGGGAGAAGAGCTGAAAGAGGGAGAAGAGCTGAAAGGGGGAGAAGAGCTGAAAGAGGGAGAAGAGCTGAAAGAGGGAGAAAAGCTGAAAGGGCTTCAGCGGAGAAACACGTCAACGTAGCCAGTTCCTGAAAAGGCTGACGAGGAAGGTAGCTTTGGGACGACGGCGACTGGGATCAGCGGGACAAGCAGACCATTAGACTGACACTAAGTGAGGAATTTGCAGTGACAGTCCTATACGGATGGGAGCCGCACATCGATTTAATGTCCAACTCAGAGCTACAGTTTCCCAAACTTTAGTTTCAGCAGCTGAGAACTTTCAAATAATTAATTTGATCACTTACTTTAAATTCATTTCATTAATACAGCTGCCAGATGCTATACTGGTCCCTGAATTCAAACAAAACGGAGCGATTTCTAATCGTTTAAGCGATATAAATTGCTTCATTCAGTTCATGAATTGCTTTTACTATCGCAAGCAGTGCGAACATGATATTTAATTGAAACGTGGAAAAACGATAAAAAAGTTTTTAAAAAAGAAGAGAAAGCATCTTTCCTAATAAAAGCAGAGAGAGCAAAAGTGAATTTCAGAGGATGAGTGCATTCAGGATGCTCACAATTCAGTCTGGGTCATTTAGCTGGTAATTCAGCAATCCACGAATAATTAACATGACTGATCACGAGCCGAACGACTAGAGAAAAGTGAGTTTTGGCGGCATTCAGATTTAACAAAACCAAAAAAAAACAATGAAATTGCCCACTTGAAAATAAATCTGATTTAGCAGAAACATAAAGGGTCTTTATGAACCTGTGGCCAAACCCGCTACATCTGGCTAAATATTTTCAAACTGCTTAAATGTGCAGTGAATCATTTAATGACTATTAGTGTGGGGACACAACTTTTCTGTGACAATGAGGAAGTTCAGCTTCCATTTTCAGCCAAGATTGTAAAGCTGCCCAATATCGCTACTGCAATAACCCAGTGAGAGAGAGAGAATTAATGACTTTACATCATGAACAAAAATTATGGATTAATGCTTATGTATGTGTCAGTATTTATGAATGTGTCAGTATTTAGTTATTCATAATGTTCAGGATGTCCCCTGCCTTGTTGCCCTCTTCTGGGATCCAAGTTTTTACTGCAAGCCAGTAGCAGATAAGCAGCTGTAAAATGGATGGATGGATGGATGGATGGATCTCCCTGTTTGAAAGAAGAGCCAAGTGTCACTTATGACTGCGGTCTCCAGTCTCTATGGGGTAACTCAGGCTACAAGGAGCAAATAAATATCACCCTTCCACTTTGATGGTGATCCAGCTCATTAGCAGGTTAGCGGTAGCGCTTCTGTCCACAGCTCCATGTGGGGTAAGACCCAGTTCAGGCACCATTCAAAATCAAATAGAGCAGAGGCTAATAAGGCACACCCTTTCAAGGGTACAGGGAGTCCCTGCAAATAATAGCCACCAGTGCTTCCAGTGGTGTCACAACTTATTGTGATGTAAACCTGAATACAGCTTGTAGGAGTTTTACTTACATAAAAAAGAGAGACTGAGGGCAAAACAAAAAATGATGGGTTCAGAGAGATAACCAATCAGACTGTAGAGGAGGTGGGTCCAAGCAACTAGAGGGGTGGGACCAAGACATCTGATTGGTAGGTCCCACCTCCTCTAATTGTTTGGTCTCTCTAATCCAATAATTTTTCTTTCTGCACTCAGAACATTTCTGTGCAAGTAAAACTACCATGGGTGTGAACACATGGCGGATGGGTACGCAGATGTCAGTAAAGCGGATGTTTCAGGAAACAGTACCTTGCAGCTGCTCGATAAGAGTCCAAGCCATTCTCGAACCCTGGGCATCAAAGACCACGTGGCCCTGGAAGAGGAAGACGCCATTAGTACGGGTTTGCGGTCATCTGTCATATAGCTGATGGATCCCCGGCTGCTCACCGACACGCCCTCGAAGAAGCTGGTGTTGAGGGCCCGGTAGATCTCAGCCGTGATCTCGCGATTGTTGTAGTTGAAGTCCTCCAACCTCCAGCCCTTAGCCTTCAGGGGCGCCACAGTCTTGTTAAGGGCCAGAGCCAGCGCCCACACGGCGTCATAGGCCAGCGGGGCCTCCTGGAAGCCCCCCGTCTCCTCTGGGTTCTTGCCCCCTAGCTTGGACATCAGCTGCTCCAGAAACTCCTGAGATGTCTGAATGGGGGCGGTGACAAGCAAACGACCAATCGGAACAAGACCCGAAAGGGTGTCTTGAGTCGAGAGGTATACGCCCCCTCTGAGTGGCAGCAGACTCGACATAATGTCTGTCCCATGAGTCCTTACTTGGCTCCCAGCACAAGGAGGGTAGATTCTGCTCATGGGAGTTTTACTTACACAAAAATGTTCAGGGGGCAGAATGTTAAATGATTGGTTCAGGGAGACCAAGACATCTGATTGGTTGGTCCCACCTCCTCTAGTTGCTTGGACCCACCTCCTCTACAATCTGATTGGTTATCTCTTTGAACAAATAATTTTTCTTTCTTCCCTCAGAACATTTTTGTGTAAATAAAACTCCCGTCAGCGTAAATTTGGCAAGTGACCCTTCGATCGATGTGCACAAGGCGAAATAAACCATGTCCGAGCTCAGAACGGCCCGTTTCACTAAAAGCAGCATAACGGGATCCCAAACTCCATTCATTAGCGCGGTGATGATTCCCGCGGCCGAATCATTGCTGCTGTAATGCCTGACAGTTATTACTTGACAAGGTCAATAAATCAGCTGCCTGACAGTGGTGGCAGGATGCTGGATACATACAAATCACCCCCCCATTCACCACCTTTTCTTCCTGCAGCACTTTTTTGAAACAGCATTGTGACCTTTGTGTGCCCATATCATGAATCTCATAGGCAAGTATATTCCTATTTTTATGCTGTAGTACATAATCACATAGGCATTTTTGTTATTAAAATAATTACTATTCGTTTTGATGAACCCTTCTTTTTAAAGCTGTATTTATATTCAGATTGCATCAGCGCCATCTGTCAGAATTTAACTGAATCTAGATAAGGGCACTGTTTAATTACCTAGATGTAATAAAACTGATAAAATAGCCACTCGGTTCCTTTGAAAAATAATGAAATCATGCCAGGTTGGGTTTCACATCCTCCACTCGACGGTGACTTTGAGTAAGTATCAAAAACACGTCGGCGTCCTTCAACGTTTTGACTTAATGAGGTATTAGACGCAGCATTCCCACGGCAGCCAGGACGAATCAAGGCGGGAGAAAAAGTCAACAGGATGATGACAAGGTCATGTGACGGGAACAAAGTCACATGGCAGGAACACTGGGAGCAGGAGAAGTGTTAGTGCTCACCAGGTTGGAGGCCCCCCGGACCGTCTCCGGGTTCAGCATGACGATCTCCGTGGTGACATGCCCTTCCACGGCCTCCGTCATGTTCTCCACCGTGCAGTTGATGGACGGGTCCTTGATCTTGAACCAGTTGTCCGCATACCATCCGATGAGGAACCACACGTATTTCTTCCCATAAAGCTTCTCCTTGAACACCTGGCATGTGATGAGAAATAGCAGCACAATGCTAAGGGATCGCCAAAGGAAGCTTACCTCAGTCTTAGACATAGGCTAGCTCTCTACGATGCTTTCGCAACCTTCTTCGTGATGAGGCATCATAACAGGACATAGCGAAAAGACATAAGAAACAATTCTAGGACGGTACAAAACATTGCTGCAGTGTAACATAATGATCAACTTTTTGCTAGCAGCATTTTAACATTGGTGACAATATGACAAAAGTCACAAGAGATGTAGAGATACAGTCTTAATGAGAAGGGATTTACCTCACAGAAGACTTTGCGAGCTTCAGTTTCGTAGAAGAGCCCCACGATTATCCTGGCGTCCTGGCGCTACGGCCCAGAAGTAACAGGCACACATTCAGAGAGCAGAACGAGACAGCAGACGCCGGGGAATCGTGTCTCTACTGAGGCCTGGATCTCAATTCCCTGGCAAGACTGGCTCTTAACAGGGAGCTGCTGCGGTCCTTGGGGGTGGGGCCTATGCCTCGAAAATTCATGGCTCATTGCTAATTAGCCCATATATCTCAGGAATGAAATGTAGGCCAATATACAGAATAAGCGAAGCTGGTGATAGTCTGGAAGACTGAGAAGCATCAGAGAACAGCACTTGAGTTTGGCGTTCTTGAGAGGATACTATTTTTGGCAAACTTTGATGTGATTTTGCTGTTTTTTTGTCTATGGGTCAGACATGTTTGGCTCGCCGGGCTATCAGGCCATGTTAGAGGTGGCAAGGTTGTCTGTCTGCTGCCAGCAAGCTCCTGCCCCGTGCTACATGGTCTGACAGTTGCTGCGCTGGCGGGGGGCCGGGTAGGGGCAGCCAGAGGGTGGGGGCAGCCAGAGGGTGGGGGCAGTCGGCGAACAGAGGGAGGCACCTTGAGGTTCTTGACTGCCACCGCCGGGTCAGTCAGGAAGCTCTGACGGACGCTGATCTCGATACCGGCCTCTTTCACTCGCTGCTCCAGATCATCCAGGGTCTGCAAGAGGAAAATGTAGAAGGATGGACAGAAGCAGTGAGAGCAAGGGAAGGCAAAGATGAGTGGGCTATTATAGGTTAGCAAGTAGTGCTCTGTGTTAACAACACAAAGGCTGTGGGTTCAAGTCCCAGAGAGCAGAGAAAAATAATAGTTCTTCCTCATATTTCAAATAGCCTTAGATTAAATCAGATAAAGGAAAAATGTACAGAGGAGAGGCTAAAATACTAAGCAGAGGAGGAAAGAATGTGTTGTGTTATTCACTATTGTACTTGTTCTTTGTCTTGTTCTATCTGATCATTCAAGGAATTTATATATAATGTTCTAGAACTATGAAGACTGGATTTTCTCTTTCAAACAAAGCTGGTTTTGAATCTTAAACTGAGGAAGTGCAGGAGACTGCCACCGACCGATGTAAAGACCTCCGTGGTCTGCTGGATGGTGGCGATCTTGGTCCACTTCCACTTCTGGAAAAGCTGCACGCGGGTGGGGTTGTGGAGCGTGGCGGAGGGGTGCGTGCGGAAGAAGGTGGGGAAGCGCTGGCGGTTGGAGAGGGCGGGGGAGCTGGAGCCGTAGGACAGCTGGAGGGGGTGGAGGAGGGAGAGGTGAGAAGGAGAGACGGAGCTAGTCTACATACACTCATGATCAGGATCTTCCACGCACTGAACACTCTGAAGAAGATAAAGATCTATTCATTTTTCAATCAAATATCCATGTCAACAAAAGCAGTACTACTCAGCAGGCATATACCTAGAAATTCTGGGCCCCCTGGTAAAATGTGACCTTGAGCCCCCCCCCCCCAATCTAATTTTTACATATATAATTTTACTTATCCCAGGGCCCCTATCAGGTGCTGCCCCCCCCCCCCCCTATATCAGCCAGGGTATCTAAGTCCCTCCAATGGTCCTGCTACTTGGGACAACCACTGCAGGTTGCCATCAAAAAATATAGCAATTTGGACCAAAAATGTGTCAGCTTGGACCAAAATCAAGATGCAGGCAATGACCTCACCAGCACACAGTTTTTATAATTCTTGATGTTAGTGAGGTACCCTGCATCACCAGCCAGCGGTCCACTGTGAAACATCCCAACATGTTGAAGTGAAGTGCATTAGGAGTGCGGAGGTGTAGCAGAAAGGTGACAGCCTGGGCATACCACGATGAGGTTCCACATGCGGGCCGCCTCAGCCACCAGCGTGGAGACAGAGCTACAGCCAGGCATCAGCACGATCTTGATGGGCTCCGTGTATAGCAGGTCGTACAGCAACTTGGTGGCCTCGCCGGGGTCACACTGGCACAGGGAGAGACAGGGTCACGCTCACACGCCTATCTCAGAAGAAGACCTGCCTGATGAGAGACAGGACACCAATGTGACCAGCAGCTAAGGCTAAAATGTCTTGCGTGTCTCTCGTATACGGACATCTGCGGCCATTTTCCCAAAAGCCCACAAACCTGAAGAAGGTGCTTTGATCTTCTATCAGGTTCGAGACATACAACCTAACATGTAGTTTCAGTCTTGCAGGTTTTAGCAAGAAATCGTGCGCCAAATACTGGTGAGAAAGCTCAGCAAAGGCAGCTCTACAGATGCCTTTCTGGGATAAAGAAAAAGAGATGAAGGTGAAGATTCATAACTGTAAAGTAAGGAGCTTATGCCTGGCCCTGGACCTTTTCATCAGACAACAAGAGAGAGGTGATCTCCTCTTTTTTAAGACAGATCCTCTCCAGACTCCCTGGAGTTTGGCAGTCTTATTTATTCTCTACTCCAAGCTCAGTGTGCGCTTTCTTGAAAAACCCAGGGGGAAACCTGGCATGATCTCACTGTACCCGGAAAACAGCAGCTTCGCTCCGTGCCAATAAACTTCGGGCAATGCGAGACAAATGTCTTTTCTCAAGCAACCACTGTAAATATTCACGATCAGTGCTGAACAATGCTTTCCAGGAGAAGAGCGTTCTCCAACTCATCTATATCTCTTATTAATGACACTTCTCTCAGAATGTAGCATCGCTTGTGCATCCCTCTCCCTTCTGTGAATTCCTGTCTCACTGAGGCATCCCTCTCCCTTCTGTGAATTCCTGTCTCACTGAGGCACCCCTCTCTCTTCTGTGAATTCCTGTTTCACTGAGGCATCTCTCTCCCTTCTGTGAATTCCTGTCTCACTGAGGCATCCCTCTCCCTTCTGTGAATTCCTGTTTCACTGAGGCATCCCTCTCCCTTCTGTGAATTCCTGTTTCACTGAGGCACCCCTCTCCCTTCTGTGAATTACTGTCTCACTGAGGCACCCCTCTCTCTTCTGTGAATTCCTGCTTCACTGAGGCATCCCTCTCCCCTCTGTGAATTCCTGTCTCACTGAGGCATCCCTCTCCCTTCTGTGAATTCCTGTTTCACTGAGATGTTTTCATGCATTTCACAGCCCCACAGAGAAAGGTCGACCTTTGAGAGAAATTATATCATCAATATAAGGACTAATTGTAGTCGAGAAGGAGGGTTTTCTTTTTTAAGAGATGCTTCAATAGGTCCTCAGCTACAAGTGGGCAAGTGGGTCACAGACATCAAACAAACCCTCTAAGGACCACGGTCTATGCAATTAGCCACGCAATTAGCAACAGTTTAATGGTGACACAAAAGTAATAATTCCACATGAAACATTCTCCAACCCTGAAGGAGACATCTATTTTTGTGATTAAATACTAAACTTAACTGGCAAATCTATGCTATACTGGCCTGAGACCCATACATTTATCAGCTCAAAGCATTTCGTTCTCACATTTAGGGGCATGAGAACTCAAGAACCTGAATCTATTGTGACTCAACTCAATAAATCGATACTGAAGCAAAACAGGTAAATTTCATGCAATCGATGTCAAGCCAGAGACTCACTGGGAAACTGGCAGTATAGGAATCATTTATAAATCCTTCAAACCACCTAAAGGGAGATGAAAAGACCTGTGACAACGCAGTCACCCCCAGCACCCGCCTGCATCCTCCACGTTTGACAGAGCTCAGGAAATCACCCCAGGGGGTGTCCGCCCTTCTCCCACGTAATGTTTGGGAAGCAGGCGAACGTGCTTAAAGACAGCTGGACCAGACACAGAATGACCCAGCCTTTTCTGAGCGCTTCCGCTGTCCTCGGTGCTGAACCGTAGTGATTCAAAACAAACCTAATAAAGGAGTCACCGCTGTTCATTAACACTCTGCCATGAAGTCGGCACCACATGACCCACCAACGTCCCTGATAAGAAGCAAGTCGTGGGCTGGCTGTTACCCTCTCTGTGACCCAGAGAACTGCTAACACTTCCTGTTTTCTATAAGCACAAAAAAAGTGGCACATCGATATGATGCTGAGGGGGGGTATCTGAAACCACTGCATGTACAGCACCATCCCTGCAAAAATATGCGTTTGTTTCAACTGCAGTTTCCTCAGTAACTATTGCCATGCCAACCCCTCGCTCTGGCTCCCCTCCCTCCTAGGCTCAGAAGTGAGGTTCCAATGCAGAGTGATTCTGGCCAATCGTGGCGAGGCTCTTAGAAAAGCCAGCCATTCACAGCAGAGTTAACTGTTTGTTGGCTGCAGTTGCATGACCATCTACAGTACAGTGTGTGACAGGGGGAACTCAGCTGAAGGAAAACAGAACATTTTCAAAAGAAAGGGAAACATTGAAAGACTGGCCATGCAAGGGTGAAAAATACACAATAAAAGAAAAAAGGTGGGAAGGAGATGCAACTGTACTAGGTAAACAAAATATATTGTGTTTACTTAAGAGTTTATTCTGACATACTGCTAACAAGGAACTTCCGAGCTGATGTCAGAACGATGCTACATCTTTTTGAAAATCCCAGGTGTGACATCGCTGTAACAGACACACACAGCAAATGCATATGCATTTATGTAAACATAAACCAGCCCCCTAACCTGACCTGAATACCATGAAAACAATTTCAGGTGTTTGGCATGGGTGACAACTTATAAAAGCAGGTTAAATACATCAAAGAGGTCCAAAAAATGACAGTAAAAAAAACTAATTGATAAGAACAAAGTTACAGTTCAAGTACACGGAGCTGAAGACGAACACACTGTAAAAAAAGATTAAAATGACAGTAATACACAGAAATGAACATGCAGACAAGCAGATGTTAGCATCGCGGGGCTGAGTGACTTCCTCAAGCAGCTCTCATAGAAATTAAGCCGTGGTGACAAATCCAGGCGTCCGCCTTTATTCACATGACAAAGTTGGTGACGCGTTACTTACCATACTGTCATAGTATATCAGTTCCAGTTCGTAATCGGGCAGGATGTCAGTTCTCTTGTTGACCAGATCTAAGGCCATTTGAGCAGAGGGCAGACATGCCTGCCCCCCAGGCCAGCCCCCGCTCATCGGGAATAGGGCGCCAATGTACAGCTTCTTCTTGCCTACGGCCGGGCAGGACCAAGAGAGAAATAAGGTGAGCCAGGCGAGGAGCAGCTTGCGGCTTCTCGGGAGGTGCGGAGCGCGGCTCCCGGAGCGCCGAGGCAGCACCATCATTCCAGCAGGGGCGGCGGGGCTGATGAAGTCCCTCTAAGCGCTCGGCTGACGATGAATCAGTCTCAAATGCTCCAGTGGACTTTAAATTAAACGACTTGAAGGTCAAAAATCAAGTACAAAAGTACAATTCATGTAATTACATTTTAAAGTAAAATTTTGTATTCACAGCGGGGTATGGTAAAATATTGGTGTATCAAATATTACAAAATGCAAAAGATACACAGTAATAAAAAAATAATTTCTATCTAGTTTACATTAACGGAGTGTACAGCAAAATTGTTTTAATAGTAATACTCATTTGCGGACGAATAAACAGCAAAGTACCGCGCATTTCCTGACACGTGTGCGCTTTGTAGAGACAACGCCACAAATAATATAATTATAATAGTAACTCAAAAATCAGATCCCGGGAAATCATGTATATCTAGCGAAGAATACCGATTTGCTTAGTAAGTAGAAGAAACTTCAAAATATTCGCGCAGGTTAATAAAGCCAATTAACCATAAAAGTGGATTATAGACTCAATTAATTGTTTTTTCTCGCGCGAAATTAATTAAAATATAAATAAAGGTAAATCTAAAGAGCGTCGCGTTAAGTTGTTTTTGTTAGGCTGAAGTTTTACGTCCGTAATTTAAAGCGGTGAAAGTCGGTCCTGGGTTTGAAACAAAGCGTGCGGCACAGCCGAAATAGCGCTACTTACTTAAAGTATGTGTTAACTTACAGCATAACAGGCGAAAATGAGGTGAGGAAACTGGAAAAGGGGGAGGGAAGAAAATAACTCCCTCTCTCCAATAAAATAACAAGAAAGCAATAAAAAGCGTATGAAACTAAAACAACGTTTTTTATATAACACTGAAATTAGTCTGTCAGTCAGTACATGTAGCTACACAGTCACGATCGGTTCCCAAACGCGCTTGAGACATTAACTAAAAATGTAATCGTGCTGTATAAACTGTATAATAACCGCAATAGATACAGCTGCCGACATAAGGAATTACTTCTAATATGTACTGAATTTTCTCGGTGTCAGTCCGCTATATGGTCGACGGTTTGTTTAGGACGAAGGGTCGCCTTGCTGTAGGTATGTATCCGTTCATTGACGAGAAAAGGACAAAAGAAACGACGTGGAAAAATATTAAACGACAGCCCTGATTATTTTTGCTCGTTGACTGCAGCAGTGAGTGTGTGTGAGAGCGAGTAAGAGTGTGGCAGTATGAGAGGAAGCGAGAGGGAGAGAGAGAGAGACGGAGGAAGGGAGAGAGATGGCGCGCGAGGGGGGGGTCGTTCTGTCCTTCTATGTTACAGAAACCACTATGAATATTCAATCCTTAATACAACCTCTTTCGTTTTATCCCCCCTCCCCACTTCACCTTTTTCATCCCGACCAACAGTCCCACGTTTTGTTAACCTCTGACTATAGCTCTCAAATACAACCCTACATAAGCACTCTTTGCCTGTCACATGAAAGTCAGACACCTAATTAATGAGGTAGACTGCTGTTGTTTTAAGGGACTTCAACCGATTCTCTCTAATCTATTTCACCTTTTAATGTCTTTTGCTCTCCTTGCCCTCCATTTTACCATATCTACCCTTTGACAAAAAATTCCCCAATCAAAAATTCCCCAACTTATAGCAACACAAGACATTCAGAAACTGTTACTCAAAATCAGTACCAACGGATCTTTTTATTTTGCCCCTCACGCAAACTCAGTTACTGAAAATTTCCAAGTCTTCCCCACAATCCTTCTATTCATCCATCTTCCAAGAGCTTACCCAGTTCTGAGTTATTGGAAACCTGCAGCCAATCATAGGGAGCGCAGGGCTTGAGGCTGGGAGCCCTAGATTTTATGGCACAAACTAGCACACAGTCACATGGAGTCTCATACGTAATGTGCAATTTAGAGATGCTGATTAGCCATGACCATGTGCGTTTGGAATCAGAGCATAAACAGGATCACCTGTGCAACATCAACCTGCCAGCTCCACATGCACAGAGTGGGGGTGTTAAATCAACCCTGCCGGCCCCAAGGCGTCAGGCCACCTCCCCTCTAACAGGTCTTTATGTCTGACAGAAATGGCACTGCTTAATTATGCACGCACTCATGTGTGCAGATGCACTCAGGCAGGTTAAATGGCGTTCGTGGGAGATGGTATGTTACATCTCTCTACATATGTGTCTATAGGTGCTGTGTGTATTTCTGTGTCGGTGTCTTGGGGAACCTGTGTGAGCAGATGAAGCAGCAAGTGTCTAAGTGTGGTGGTAAATAATTAATTAGCAGTGTGACGGCCTGACAGCGCTCCCGACCAGCCCCCACCCTCTCCTCTGTTTGTTCGACTCCTTAATTCTCACTGCCTTTTTACTCTCCTTTCCAAGCTAATAGTGACCATTTCTTTCCAGCTTCCTGTCAATATCTAACAGAGAAATAGTGCTTGTCTCCTGCTTAGTAGGTTTTAAGGTCTATGGAGGCCCAGGAGGCACAATAAGCATCACCAGGGACATCCCTGCTCTTTTGGTGATGATTGTTAATCAGTTTATAGAGCCCTTATGAGGTGAAATTTTATTGATGCCTGACTTGGTTATGTCATCTTTAAACACTGCAGGCAATGCAGCCTTGATGCACATGATACCCCTTTCAACAAGGAAAAGGCATGTTGGGCATATGCATGAGCACATGTGTGTCATTTGAGGGGAGGGGAGATTCTAGGATTTTTTTTTAAGTGGGGGGCATAAGAGAGGCTATAATTCAAAGAGTGGGATCAGCCTTATCGTTAGCCAATGATATGTTTGAGTTGGTGAGTGACGGGGGAGGATGCACTCTGGGGACCAATCAGCTCTCGGCTAGGGCCATTGCTCCTGTGGCTCCGCCTCTGAAGTTGCCCCTGTGGGCAGCCTTCAAGCTGACGAGGGGTCAAGAGGCCCTGAAGACATCGACACAACTGAACCTTGAATCTGCAACACGTCCCGCCTTCCTGTTCCCTAAAGAGTCTCTGCCATCCTGACCTCGCTGGAGGTTCAGGGGAATCTGTCGGTCACCCAAATGTGACATTACGGAATTCAATAAAGTCGGGGAGCCATGCACATTTAACACGTCTGGGGATTTCGAAAACTGCCGGCTGTTGTCGTAGAAATGCTACAAAAGGCCATCTTCCCCAAGCTGAAATGTAATGAGCTCCTTAGGTTTGGGATCTCTAAGCCAACGGCAGTCTCTCAAACCACCGTGCAGGAAACACGACAACGACGCACTTTGGATCTTACAGCTACAAGCAAAAAACGCCCCCCCCCCCCACCAAGCCAGACACTTCCCGGTAAAGAAAGGAGAGGTTTGTCAACTGCGAGCTGGACTGTGGAGACTGCGATCATGTGATTAAAAAGCAGCCAAGCAGCTGGCGTGGTGATGTCATTAATCACGACGGCCCCTGAGAGGCGTGGCGAGCGAGCTGGAGCCTTCAAAGTGACGACGAGCAGCACTCGTGTTAACGTGGTGCGATAAGAATCAGCTCTGCGTGACTTTCTGAGGCTCAGGACGGTCAGGACGGGGAGGGGGGAGAGTATCACTTCATTTAATGTGATCAATCTACAGAAACGCCCCGTTTGGGTTTGCGGTGAATAATGACCTTGATTGGAAGTCTGCAACGCTGTAGCAGAGAACCTCTTCAAAGGGCGTTGTGTCCCCAAGGTCACGACTTAGGGTGACTCGCACGAGTGTTAAATACATGGCAGAGAATTCAGACTTACAGGCACTGAGTAGCATATCCAAGCAACATAATATGTTATATATTAAACAACAGTCAGTGCCAGTTTACACATTTCACATGTGTATCGACCCTTATGTCCTGCCCGTGTTTTGCACTTTAAAGATCATGCAAACCTGTCACTGTTCTATGTTGTACCGTGGTCCTGGGGGACGCTATTTCCTGTCACCGTGTACCTGTATGTGGATGATATGATTAAAAAGGTCCACTTGATGTGACTTGATTTGAATAGTCAGGAGACCTCCGCAACCCTTTTTTGTTCCTCACTCTCGGTTTCTCCTGAATGCTGGGTAGTATGAGGAGTACTGAAGCAGAAGGTCTGTTGGCAAAGATTCTTGTTGCCCAAAAACTCATTTTTGTAACTAAATCAGTCTTCGGCGTGATATTCGTGGAGAACCCACTGCACAGATAACGAGCTGCACCATGACAATTAAGCTCAACTTGCTGAGAAAATGTATTTGCTTTCCATGTCTTCTAGCCGGAAGAGGAAACCGTCATTCCCAAAATCTGAGCACATCAGCCTGAAAATGCCCCTCACAGACACGCAGGCAGCTCAATGGGCAGATCCCTCCTCTAAAATGTGACTCATTATCGACAGGCATCCCACTAATATCCAGTTTGCTTTATCATGCAGAGGTTTCTTATCGGTTTGGTTCATTCAAAGGCAGGAATGCTGGAATTCACTTAACCATTCTCCTGTAATCTATACCCCTATCAGCCTTTGTCTTAATAGACAGACCTGACCGTACAGCACCAGTCCATCATGCGAACAAAGGAAAAATTATGAGGGTTCTTTACCTCGTCGATACTGCAATTGAAATGTAGGAAATGTTTCAGGAATTTACACCAGGTAAATAACCACAGCCACAGTGAGTGTCCCTAAATCCTTGAAGAAAGATGGTCACCATGAACTGCAATGCGTCAGTTCACACACACACACACACACACACACTCATAGACATATTTGTGGAATAGTTACAGGATGTCTTTTTTAGATATATGTCAGTTACACAGCAGGATGATGTAATCTCGCAACAGTGAGTATATTTCATTATGTTTAAGTAAAATCACACTGTTTTAGTGGATGTCATTGTCTTGCCAAGATTAAGAAATAGAGATGGAATAACTTTGTTTT